CACTATTAATAGTTTGCTAGACCCCACAGGATCCTCCTGCATGTAATTAAAGTTCAATTTAGAGAGCAGGAGTAAACCTTTAAATTAAGTTACATTTGATTGAAATTGTTACAATATTTTTCCCATGTAGGCTGTGTCAGTCACAGCCAGGAGAGGTGTGGCTAGAACTGCATAAACGGAAACAAAAGTGATTTAACTCGTAAATGGTAGAGAATTGAGCAGCGAGACTGCATGAGCATGATTTGTACACCAAAACTGCTTCATTAAGCTAAAGGTTATTTTGGTGATTATATTGTCCCTTTATTAAGCAGTGTCCTCCTGATGCGCATACATGCCAGGATACCATACCCCGTATATGACTGGCACATTGCCTATGACCCTCTATGTATTAATAACATGCTGACCTGCTGACCCCCCCAGACCCACCCCTTCATTCCGATGCCCGGTCTGATTAAAAATACAGCATTTTAAAAATATCTCGAGCAAAGCAGTTTTTCCGTCTCAGCGATTACCGTCATACATGCTTTAGCGAATATACCCCTTTTATGTGTGGGAGAGATTTGCGCAATGCCTAATACACCCTGAATATAATCAACTGTAAATAATCAATATATTGCACAACAGAAGCTGTCATATGGAGTTTGTGCTCTAGACATGCTGTACCATGATATGGTGCGAGGGGAACGGTTATCTGGAGTAAAAGCGAACCCATTTTATGTCTTCTATGAGAAGATAATGTAAAATAGAGAATTCACACCAGGCTGCCTGTCCAACTGAGGGCAGGGCATGCAGGGAGCACAGTTTCACTGCTCCCTGCAGGGTCCTAGTTCCCTACCCATAGGGCGCGGGTGTCTTGATGTGCCTGTGCTCAGTGTTGGGGACAGTTTCCTGGTGTCCCCAAAAGCGGAGCAGAACCTACAAATTATGATTGTCCCGCCAAATTTGTGAGTTGGGAGGCATGCAGTCTCATGGCTTGCAGTGGCAAGTAACTTTTTTTTTTTTTTTTAAGCCTGGTTAGTGGTTTAAGACTTTAAAATTTTAAGCCCAGACCATATCATTGTATCCCTGGAAATGTATCATATCACATATGCTGCCTTGGTGGATGCAGGATTCATATGCTGCAGGAAAATAACCAGTTACCCAATCAAGGCAGACTCTTTTGGGATTTTTCACGATTATTAAATGGATTCCATCATGCATAGCGTTGGATGGAGTCTGTACAATATGAATAGTTTGTTTAATAACAAAATAATAATAAAATAAATATATATAATTTTATCATTATGCTGTTTTTTGTTTGTTTTTTTGCTATGGGATTATTGGAAAATCTCTGCCCCTGCTGGAGGTGGGCAGGGTTCTAAATTATTTTATTTACCAGTTTATCATATAAGGGACTGTTTACCTCCACGGATTCGCCGGCATAAGACAGTGTTAAAAAAGGAAAAGAGAGAGAATCGGTCTCGCACTCATTGCCTCCTGAAAATTAAAGATTCTTTATTTCAGATTCACTGGAGTCTGTCCAAGAGTTAGAAAATGAGCTGATCTATGTCATCAATATCTACTGCTAAGCTGTATTTTTAGACTGGATATAAGGAAGTCAATGGTACAGTTAACCCTCTCAGTACAACATGGTAGTGATGGCTAACTATGGCTCCCCAATGCTTTTAAACGGCATTTTCCAAGATGAATGATGGGCAATATACTTAAATTGTATAAACACTATACCGGGGGGCTGATTGCTGTTGCAGACCAAATGATTTGTTTTGTGTTCATCTGGTCATTCTGATAGATTAGGGGTTAAAACATTCTGGCATCTATCTTGGCGGACCTTTTTGTCTTTCGAATGCCTGTGGCTTGTGTGGGGAGAGGATCAGTGAAAGTGGAGATGATTAAACGAGGGCTGTTCGAGCGATTGGGAGATGAAAGTGAGACCTAGAACAGTTTTGAACCAGACACAACATATTCATCAAGAAAAGCCATGCCGTGCATGATCTCATACAGGAAACTGGACTGAGCCCACAAAATGAGGTCACCGCGGCCAACAAATGACCTGTATGGACAATGCTACCAGACACGGGCCCACCTGCCGGCTAAAGTCTACGCAGTCCCTCTTGGTAGTAGGGTTGCCCAAACTGCAAGATTTTTGGCCACATATTATCGCGCCATCTTGTTTGGTAGTTAATAAATAATAAATGCTGCCCATCAGTATGTAGCATTCACATGCTTCATAAGCATTTACTTTAGATCCATGGAGCCTGGATAGTTTCTTCTCAATTTTGGCATCCGGACAAGCTACAGTGATTATGGTGTTTGGAGTGTTTATTTAAATTTCCATATTTGCCAGCTGTACCAAATTTGCTGGGGCAGTCCTGCATAACGGTGTATTTTCTGAGCAAATATAGGCGAACACCTGTCCCACATTTTGACTTCTGACATCAGATTTCAAAATCCAGGAGGGACTGGACACTAGGACCACGCACAGAGAGATCCGCTCCGCGTATGGTCTACTGGAATGGGCAGCCTGGCCATCCTCTTTAGGGGCTTTCCCCTTCCTCTTTGAGCAGGTCCACTCTCTGCATGTCTGAGCTCTGTCGTGGAAGGTCAGCATGTTACATTCGTGATTTAAACCGGTAAGAAGACATTGTGGATCTGGGTGGGCAACCATTTCTGAGACGTACGATATCAAGACATGACAACTGAGTGCACAGAAACCAGGCTGCTTTCGAGTAGCAATCAATCGAATCCAATCCCTTCTGTACTCCGTTAAATTCTGCTCTCCAGGCACAGCTGTGAACTTCATCTTATGACTCATGAGATTCAAGATTACATTTGGTAATTACTCAGACTAGACCATCTCATAATCTACCGAGGGTTAATTATTGGAGTTATGGAGACTTTATAAGGAAATTGCTAATTTTAAACCAAATTAAATAAACTGACCAAAAAAAAGCACAAGTTTGAGAATGTTAGATCAAACAAACATTAAACTGAAACCTATGTTGTCAGACAGCAGTTAGCTGTTCATGATAAATGTATTGGTTAAAATGGCTGTGCATGCGCACCCTGGCACAATCCAACTATAACGTGCAAGTTTTCAGACATTTTAACAGTCCCAGATTTTTTTTGTACACTACTAAATCACAACCCCTGTTCTATCGTCATGGTTTTTTTTTTGGGGTGGAGGGTTTGGTGTTACAATTTTCTGGGGGTTCAGAGAAAGTCCCCATACAGATGTCCTGTGGTGGCCCAACCCCTTTTCCAGGCACACTTCATTTCTTATCATATGTACTGTGACTAGGCCTTTCTGTATTTCTGCTGCACACGTTTCCATTCAGCTTTTAGATTTTCTAGTAATGGAAGACACAGGTCGTGGCTAAAAATTCCTATTACTCTTTAATGTCCCTATTATGCAGGAGAATGGAGGATAGAAGTGCGTATGTCATCTGGATTCCAAAATCATGACTGTTCGGTCGGAATCAGGTCACTACGCAGGTATATTTATTTTATTATTAAGCATACAACGGGCTGCTTCATGTAAAACCAAAAACCTGTTCTTATTTTATTTAAGGCTTTCCAGGAAATTATTTTAAAAAACCGTGTGTGTAATAAAATTATATTCAACATCCTAAATAAGCAAGTTTTTCAGCCTATATAGGAGGTAATGCTACGGCATTGATCTCGCTGTATTCTTTCATTAGTGACACAGGAAACTGTTAAGTTAAGAGGCCATCACTATTATTAGCCAAGCTATGCCTTGAAATAACCGCAGCTGATAAAGAATTTCTTTAGGAAGGAATTTTAAATAGATAAAGCAAAGTTAAAATGCCTGACATTGTTTATACGTTTAAGATCTAAACAATCACGGATTTTTGTCATGTTTGACAATACCTACACAATGTTTATTCTGTGGAAACAATATCACATTGTAACAACTTAATTTAGAGGACTTTTTTTTTTTTTTTTTTCAGTTGGGGGAAGCCGTCGCCCCTAGTTGTCAGGATACTAGTTGATCCAGCAGGCAAAACTGTATCGCACCTTGGACTAAAGGTAATGTCTTACCAGGCCTTAGAATGGCCGGACTTAACGTACCAAAGAGAAGTCAGAATACTTGCCGAGGTTGAGGACACTAATGAGACATAACGATGAGGGAAAGCCAAAATCAAGGATACCAGAATAGGGAAGTCGAAACAAAGCCAAAGTAAAAAAACAGAAAATAAATGCTCAGGAACACACTCTTGGACAACCACTAAGGGAAACCACGACAGGGCAATGAGCTAAAGGAATAGATACGTTTTAAATAACCCTCTTGTGGATCCGATTGGCCGTTACTGACCTTTGACCCCAGAACCTGCGTGCGTCCTTTGTGTGGCATCACGCGCACGTTGAAGCCGTCATTGACCTGGGGTTACAAATGGGAATGGATCTGCAGCGGCCGGTGTCCTTTAACATGTTGCAGGATTCAGATACATCGGCTGAGTAGCACCTCCTTTAATCCCAGAAAGGCATTTATCATTACGGGCACCACCAGGTGAGGCTGAAGATGTGACACAAGTTACTTCCTGTTAAACGTTGCACCTATTTTGCCAGGAAGTGGTCTGATGAGCAGGCCTCATAACCTTCTCGACTTCAGGGTCCTTTATACCTGTCCCTGGTCTGTCTCCATTATTGGATGTGCTTGTGCTGTGCTAGGACCATGCAGGGAGCGCTACAGGTTAGTCACGCTGACGCCCTTTCTGTGGGCAAACCTGCCAACACTTAGGATGGACCCACCCCTTTCTGAGCATGTCGGCCCATTTTTCGATTTGCCAGTGACGAAAGTTACATCACTGGCATGCTCCTCTTTGCACACACACACTACACTCCAAACAGCTTTCCTCTGAGGGCTGCTAGGTCATGATGATGATTGAGATCAATTTAAATAATGTTCCCCATTCAGTAACAACTTTAAAATGCCTTTTAGTTTTTTGAAAAAATTTTTTACATGTTAATTCTATCAAATGCAGCGGGTAACCATGGCAACACTCCAAGCGACATGCATGCCGGCCTCGCAAGAGATGGAGGGAGAAGCTGAAGATGGTGTTGGCTGGGCCCACTCTTCTCTATACAATACCTGGCTCCCTGCACCATGCCAACAGACCACCAGGGAGTGTAATGTCCCCCTCCCTGGCCAAAGGTAAGAGTCATAAATAGGGGGAATAAATCAAGTTTTATTAAAATTTGCAAAAAATGTTTTCTCCGCAGAATGCAGCCCCTATCTTATCCCACATATTTACACACACTACACAAACACACTCTGCATCCACTACACAAACACACTCTGCATCCACTACACAAACACACACTGCATCCACTACACAAACACACTCTGCATCCACTACACAAACACACTCTGCATCCACTACACAAACACACACTGCATCCACTACACAAACACACACTGCATCTACTATATACACAGTGCATCCACTACACAAACACACACTGCATCCACTACACAAACACACAATGCATCCACTATACCCCATCTTAACTACAAAACACACTCTGCATCCACTTCACAAACACGCACTGCGTCTTCTATATACACAGTGCATCCACTGCACAAACACACACACACACTATGCACACTGCCATAACTACAAAAACACACACAATGCATCCAGTACAAAAACACACTTTGCATTCACTATACACACACTACATCCAGTACAAAAACACACACTGCATCCACTATACACACTACCTCAACTACAAAACACACACTGCATCCACTATACACACTGCATCCACTATACACACTACCTCAACTACAAAAACACACACTGCATCCACTATACACACTGCCTCAACTACAAAACACACACACTGCATCCACAATACACACTACCTCAACTACAAAACACACACACTGCATCCACTATACACACTGCCTCAACTACAAAAGCACACATTGCATCCACTGTACACCCTGCCTCAACTACAAAAACACATACTGCATCCACTATACACACTACCTCAACTACAAAAACACACACTTTGCATCCACTATACACACTGCCTCAACTACAAAAGCACACACTGCATCCACTGTACACACTCTGTATTCAGTGCATATATTACGCACAAACACATAGAATCTGCATTCACTACACGCACACTCCTCATCCACTCCACACATAATGCTTTCTCATGGGCAGGTTTGGGATGCGCCCTGTAGGTGGACTCAGAGGCGGCCCCAGACATTGAGCTGTGTAAGGGGCACCAACATTTCTGATGGCACCACTGGTGGGAGGTGTGCAGTAACTCTACCACATTTGGCAGGAATGACCTGCAATGCCCTTGTGAGGATATAGTTAAATGCTGCATTTTTACAGTAGCCTTTTAGGCGTTCCATTTCTAGGCAAAAGGATACAGGTCTCAAATCAGGACTGATTTTCCAGATGCAGGACTGTTGGCAGCTGTGGAATGCAACCTCTAGTCACTATTGATGAGTTTTCTGGCAGTTGTGGTAGGTGCAGGCATTCTCTTAACCTGCTGGGTTTACCTATCTCACTGTATCCATACTCGGCAATGGTCCCTAGTTTGATGAGACAGTCCTGAATGTGGACCCTCGCCCTGGAGTACTGTCCCCAGAACATACAGTTGATACATTGTTGTTGAAGAGCCAGTAGCCAAACTTCGGCTATTTCTTTATTTTTGTATATGGTCAGGGAGGGGTAGGTGATTAATATGTTGTTAAAGCTGGCACTGTATAAGCAAACGTCATTGTTAATACCAACCTGTGGGTCCAGCAGTTTATTAACAGATAAATCAGTGCCAGAGTCAAGCACTGACCTAACTGCTTTATAATGCGTTTCCTTGAATTTAGTTCTTAGCTCATGTTTGTCCCAATTCCAATACCAGTCCAACCAATGAAAGGAGACCACTGATGCCTCCACCTTATTTATAAATACAATAGGAAGATCTGTACACCCTCGAGTTTACCATTTAGTGGCCAGTAGCAGATATTGACCCCCTTGGCATAATGGGCTTTTAGTTGCTGGAGTTGCTGTCACAGCAATAACAAACTTAAAATATGTCCATTGTTTATATGAAAGTGCCTGTGGATTTGGTACACACTCCATGTCTCCTAAATAAAAAAACTAAATTAAGGGAGGGGGCGGATTATAATATGGTATATCCAGAAATGCAAAGTTTATAGAATTTTATTACTGAATACTCCTATATGGGTTGAAGTGTTCTGGTGACGTGTGTATGCGTTGCTTTTTTTTCTTGATGTTTCTATGAGGATTTTGATCGTAACCTAAAAATATAATTACATGAATTGTTCGCTTACTTCGATTTTCTCAGTTTTAATCATCTATTCCTAGTTATATATAATATCTCATGGATAGATCGTGAATTGATAAAAGAGGTATTGAATATCCGGTGTAGATAATATTATCTAGCTCAATGTTAGTGTGCAATTTACTCTTATTCGTGGTAGTCCTATTGCTGATACAATATTATACCATTCTAGGCCCCTTCGTTTCTCCTTTTTTTTTTGTGGGATATAATGTTGCCCAACATTTAGAAAACGAGGCCAGCTGCCCCTGCCTGCACTTCAATCCAGGAACAAGCATTATGGCTCTGGTACACGTGACTATACAGTTTTAAACACAAATATTAAAATTGTGATATAGAAGTATTACACTATTGCAGCTTTCTTTTCACAAGTGTGTATATCTCACACTTGCACAGAGACCACAGATTCAGAGGCTTATCAATGAGAGAAGCCTCTGATAGATTATTTCTCTGGGGAAATGTATTTTATGGGGGAAAAGTGGAGGGTTTGCAAAGGTTGCAGTTCATAAGAACTTAAGTTTTTGCAAGCTATTTTAAGAAATTAATGCATGATTTTTTTTTTACCCCTAGCCGTGGGGGCCCACTAAGATATATTTGTGCTATAGTGTTGCTTTAATGATTTATAACAGCTGCTTTCAATATTAAGCCCCATGTTTTGGGCAGAGCTTGTCTCAGTAAGCTTATTATATACTGGTATAATATAGGGAGATTAGTTAAGACTCGGGGCACGCATACTACCCCTCCTTCCCAGCATGCACAGGGTTATTCACTTCAATTTGAGTTGCCGGGAATCCTAAGTAAATGCTCTGCTGTCGAGGACAAGGGGCGCGATGTGATCAGCGATTCCTAAAATGAGAATAGTATGCCACCTGGTGACAAAACATAGAACAGCAAACTGAGGGTTTACTATTGAATTATGTCAAACATCAATTTCTGTTTTGTAAGTTTCATTGTGCCGTAAAGTGGAGTTGATCATTTCCGGCGCATCGTAAAGACTAGTTTAAAGAAATTTTGTTTGCCTCACTCTTCCAGAATAATGTTGTGGCATCGATTTTATTTTATTTATTTTTTTATTTATTTTTTCATATAGCGTCACTGAATAAAAACCATAATTAAGTAGCCATTTATGCCAATAGGGTCTTTCCATAGAGCGCTGAGAGATGTGAAAATGGCACTAGTAAATAAAGTCTACCTCTCGCATTTAGAGAGAATATGTGACGCAGAGGTGTCTGGAAATGAACACTGTAATAAGTCTGAATGACACAAGTAAATCGGAGCAAAATTTTAACATATATAGCGTTTGTGACGCAGAGTTGTTTGAACTTTTATGGCACGGAGAGAGAAGTGAGCATGACGTGAGTAAAGCGAGGGCTACTACCTGAAATTGGAGCATATAGTGTATTAATGTGATGCTTAGGGATTTTGTAGCTAAAGGCAAATTGCAGCAGAGTATTATGCTACAGAATGATCTATATGAGTGTGCGTCATACATTGAACAAACTTTTAAAGGACCACTAAAGTGCCCTAAGGGTGCCCCTACCCTCGTGGCCCCACTCCTGTCGGGATGAAGGGGGAGGAAGGGGGTTAAACACTTTTCTCCAGCGCCGGGCTCCCTCGGCACTGGGGACTCTCCTCTTCCTTGGGTCATCATCAGCTGAACGTGCATGCGCGGCAAGAGCTGCACGCGCATTCAGCCAGTCCATAGGAAAGCATTCTCAATGCTTTCCTATGGACGCTGGCGTCTTCTCACTGTGGAAATCACAGTGAGAAGCGCGGAAGCGCCTCTAGCGGCTGTCAATGAGACAGCCACTGGAGGCTGGATTAACCCTAAAGTAAACATGGCAGTTTCTCTAAAACAGCTATGTTTACAGCAGGCAGGGTTAATCCTAGAGGGACCTGGCACCCAGACCACTTCATTGAGCTGAAGTGGTCTGGGTGCCTTTAGTGGTCCTTTAAATATTGACAATGTGCGATCTACATAAATTGTGCATCATTGGGTAAGCAAAGGTTTTGACGTGAGCAACAATTGACATTTCCGATATTTTAGAAATGCAAAATTGATAGCCCAGGGCTATTCTCTAAAGGGAGAATTCAAAGGGATTCTCAAATTCAAGGTGAACCTTGGCAAAAATATCACAGTCCGCTACGCTTGCAGTACAGCTATTTTGGCCTTAAACTTTAATTCACTTTGAATTCTTATTTTTTAGTGCATAACCCTGTAAAAATTCTACTCTTACACGCACAATACAGCTTTCGAATAGGATATCACCGTTATACAAGTTTTCCTACATTTGAAGTGTTGTGGAGATATTTTGTATCCGTGTTGTGGAGATGTTTTGTATCCGTGTTGTGGAGATGTTTTGTATCCGTGTTGTGGAGATGTTTTGTATCCGTGTTGTGGAGATGTTTTGTATTCGTGTTGTGGAGATGTTTTGTATTCGTGTTGTGGAGATGTTTTGTATTCGTGTTGTGGAGATGTTTTGTATCTGTGTTGTGGAGATGTCTTGTATCCGTGTTGTGGTAATGAATGTTTTCATGTGCTATTCTAGGCACATAGTGTGTTTTATTCTTTAAAATCATACATCTGCCAGCAATTCTTATAATATTTACTTTAGACATCCCTTCTTTTACAGATAATATTTATAATAACCTCTACAGCCCTGTGAATGTTAGGAATAATTTCCATTTTTGAATTTTTTTATAAAAGTATATATTTTTCAAACATCGCTCTGGTTACTATGTTCGTAGAGTTAGAGTAGGACCACCATAGTCTAATCCGAAGAATTTAAACGAAACACAGAGATTTAGGTGCTCGATTATAGACTTATGAAAAAGCTGCAGTCAATCTTACAAGGATTCACAAAACCTTGTGGAAATCTATAATTTTGACCAAGAACAAACCGTAGATGACAGCCCGGTCATCTACTATTTGTTCTTAATCTGAAGAATTGACTGACAGGTGGGAGGCAGACCTATATTTTAAATAGGATTTTCAGACTACCTATCATCTATATAAGACTGGTGAATGAAAAATAATGGGTGGTGTACGCGGATTATATATTATAAGATACAAGAGGTACATTGTACAAATAACAGCGCTCAAAACCGCTAGTTAGTTGTATTAAAGGGATGCTCCAGACCCCTAAACCCCTTTAGCGTGCTTTAAGTGTGAAGACTGTGTCCTTCCCTTCGAACAGAATAGGAATTGACACTTTTATAAATTGATCATGTTATGCCCCCCTGGCTGTCAATTAGACAACAGTTCCTGTTACTTCCTGGTTTGTTTATCTCTGTCATATTCATTCAAAGATTTTTTTTACCTTTCAGTCAATTAGTTCCAGCAGTAATTCCTGTTTTCCGCCACTAGTGGCCTCACTAGCCTCTAGTGGCTAGTCTAACCAAAAACACTCTCACCTGAATAGCATGATCATCCAAACATGCTATAAGAAGCCACACCTGACTTCAAAGGGTGCCTTTACTTTGATTGAAGTTTGAGCCCTGAAGTGGACAAGATTAGGGATTAATCATCCCTTCTTATTAGGGATGTGCATGGGGAAAATATTCAGTTCGGTTCAGCATTCCGAAATTCGGGACTTCAGTTCGGAACTTCGACACTTCAGGACTTCAGATGTTCTCTTGCAGACGCTTAGTAGATAACTCCCTAATTCCCACGGTGTTAGGGAGCTATCTACCAAAAGGCTGAAAGAACCAAATTGGTCTTTCAGACAAATTTAATAATTAAAGATTACTTAGTATTAATAAATTCTGCCTCTACTTGCTATACCGCGAGTAGGGGCATGTCTATTAAACAGTGAAAAAAGTAAAAAAAATTAAAAAAACAACAAGTCCCCCTGTCCGAGCCCCCACCCATGCTGCATGAGTGGGGGCTTCTAACCTGAAGGGGGGACCTATTGCCTCCCCCCCCACCCTTTAGCGGTGGGTGGGGGCCCTAGAGTAAAAAAAAAAAAAGTGGAGGGGGACCTATTGTGCTCTCCACCAGTGGGTGGGGGCCCTAATGAAGAATAAGGGGGGAGACCTATTGTCCTCTCCCCGGCCCCCACCCCTGAGCAGCAGGTGGGGGCCCAAAAGTAAAATAATGGGGAGGGGAAACCTATTGTCCTCCCCCCGGCCCCACCCCTGAGCGGTGGGTGGGGCCCTAAATTAGAATAAGGGGGGGGCTATTGTCCTCCCCCCCCCTGGCCCCACCCCTGAATGGTGGGTGGGGGCCCTAAATTAGAATAAGGGGGGACCTATTGTCCTGCCCCCACCCCTGAGTGTGGGTGGGGGCCCTAAATACCAATAAGAGGGGGTGGGGCCCTAAATAAAAATGTCACCCCCCTCTCAACAAAATTAATGAACCCCTACCTACCCCCCTCACCCTAAAAATAGTGCGCAAAAAAAGTAATCCATCTTTACCCATGGAGGGCTCCACGCAGACTGAGCTCCGCAGGGTGGGGGAAGGCTTATAAAGCCTTGCCTTGCCCAGCAATTAGGCTCAGAGCACTCTGGTTAGTTGGTTTAAGCCATCTAATCAGAATGCTCTGACAGGTAAATGAAGAGACTGACATGTAAGTCTCTACATTTACCTGTCACAGCACTCTGGTTAGCTTAAAATTCAACCAATCAGAGTGCTGTGTCAGTTTACACAGTGTAGGAAAGTTCTTTGGGATTTTCCCACACTGTGTAATATGACTCATAACTCTCTGATTGGTTACTTGCAATCAACCAATCAGACAGTCAGAGTGTTGTCATGCCACTTCGTCAATTCAGCTATTCGGACATTCGGAATGAAAGGAATTGCAATGTCCACTTCTTATCCTGGCTCCTACTCTGAAATCCTGATACTATCCAACTCATTCTCACTTACTGAACACTGCTTAACCAACCTGCAGATCCTGATCTTCTATTCCTACTACCAGCTTTAATCAATACTGGACTTTGTTTCACTATTGCTTCGTTCCTATAAATTACCGATAACTATATAACTAACCTGGAAATCCTGATCTTCTATTCCTTCCAGTTTTATTCAAATACCGGACTTTGATTTATTATCGCTTTATTTCTACACTGAACTAACCTGGATATTACAACATTCCTTCTCTTCTCCTTCATACTCTCCTATAATTTCGATTATAGGTTCTCCTTCATACTTGCCTTCTACTTCTATTTATCTCTTACAACCTGTATCCTGATCACCTGCGAAGTTATCTCCTTTATCTGTATTGTTTTCTTTTCCCTTAAGTTCTGCTACTATTATTATTTTTCTTGTCAAAAGTTCAAAATAAAGAACATAAAGTTAACCCCAGCATACGTTTCTTGTCTGACCTGATGCAAAACCTGACAATCTCAGTGAAACTAAACTCGAGACAGCAATTGCCCAGAGCACCTGCCTTGTAAAGACTACTCATTGAGCTGCATTAAAAAATCTGTGATTGGACAGCGACAGAAAGTCTGGGTGGGGTCAGAAGCGGAGGGCTTGTGAAGACTGAAGACAACATAGAATGTGACGGCAGATAAGAACCATTTGGCCCATCTAGTCTGCCCAATTTTCTAAATACTTTCATTAGTCCCTGGCCTTATCTTATAGTTAGGATAGCCTTATGCCTATCCCACGCATGCTTAAACTCCTTTACTGTGTTAACCTCTACCACTTCAGCTGGAAGGCTATTCCATGCATCCACTACCCTCTCAGTAAAGTAATACTTCCTGTTATTATTTTTAAACCTTTGTCCCTCTAATTTAAGACTATGTCCTCTTGTTGTGGTAGTTTTTCTTCTTTTAAATATAGTCTCCTCCTTTACTGTGTTGATTCCCTTTATGTATTTAAATGTTTCTATCATATCCCCCCTGTCTCGTCTTTCCTCCAAGCTATACATGTTAAGATCCTTTAACCTTTCCTGGTAAGTTTTATCCCCAATCCATGAACCAGTTTAGTAGCCCTTCTCTGAACCCTCTCTAAGGTATCAATATCCTTCTGAAGATACGGTCTCCAGTACTGTGTACAATACTCCAAGTGAGGTCTCACCAGTGTTCTGTATAATGGCATGAGCACTTCCCTCTTTCTACTGCTAATACCTCTCCCTATACAACCAAGCATTCTGCTAGCATTTCCTGCTGCTCTATTACATTGTCTGCCTACCTTTAAGTCATCAGAAATAATCACCCCTAAATCCCTTTCCTCATATGTTGAGGTTAGGACTCTATCAAATATTCTGTACTCTGCCCTTGGGTTTTTACGTCCAAGATGCATTATCTTGCACTTATCCACATTAAATATCAGTTGCCACAATTCTGACCATTTTTCTAGTTTACCTAAATCATTTGTCATTTGGCTTATCCCTCCTGGAACATCAAGCCTGTTACATATCTTAGTATCATCAGCAAAAAGACATACCTTACCATCAAGACCTTCTGCAATATCACTAATAAAAATATTAAAGAGAATGGGTCAAAGTACAGATCCCTGAGGTACCCCACTGGTGACAAGACCAAGCTTCAAAAGAGATGCATCAGCAGTAAAGTCCCCATCTAGACCTCTAGAAGAGGCTCCACTAATCAGGCGCCTAATATTCTGGTTTATAGGTTCTGATCTAATCCCATATATCACTGTTCATATGATTTTATGAGAGATGTACTCCAGCTCCTGTCGCAGTCTCATTCTTCCCAAGTGTCCCTATTTAGGAGGCACAGTCCATGTTATAGGCCCAAATTGCTCTGCCCCCTTTTCTATCTTAATGTCCCTCTTATCTAGGAGCTCCGTGTTCTTGGTCTGTCTTGGCGAATTTCAGGCAATTCATCCATTCTTTTGAAAGACTAATGGCTAAATTCACAACACAACAAATAAAATGAAGAACGAATTGCTTGCTGGTGAAAATTTTGTTCATGCAATTCGGCCTTTTGTTTGTTTGTTTATTTTTTAATTATGTGGAGGGTGGTACCTGCTCCCTCTAGCTAATTTGATTATTTAAAAATAGAAGTCGTGAGGAGCTCTGCTCTCCTTCACTTCCTAAATCCTCCCCATGCTCCCCCTCACCCAGTGCAACGAGTGACGGGTTAAATTGTGCATGCTTCATTTAGGTGAGAGAATTCCTAAACTAAGCTACAAATAAATACCATATCATCCCTAAATTCATATATGGGAGGTTTAAATCCTCCCTCATTGCCTTGGGTAGGTAGGAGCACGTCTACCAAGCCGTGGTTGTTCGCGGTCATGAAAGAATAGGGACTAGGCTGTTATTGTAGCCCAAAAGAACCAAAAGTGTTTAAGCGCTATGGAATATAATACAGACAAAAAAGCAGCACTTAAACCAGTGATACAGAAAGATGTACACAAAATAAAGTTACCAAAAAAGCACGCTAGATTAGTCTGTAAACCTAGAAAGAGACAAAGAATAGTGCAGACTAAGTTAAAAAAACGGGGGTGTGAGGGAAAAAAACTCGCATATACCAGAGCCCTATCAGCCCTGGCTCTGGGTATTCAAAGCTCCTATGGAGAGGGGGTATCTCCAACTGAATAGTATCAAAAATAATTTATTATAAGACAAAAGTTAAAATCCTTACTTGGTAAATAGTGGGTTATGCTAACAAAGCTACCCAAATAAAAGCATATAAAACGGCAAAACGAAAGTCACTTCCTGGTTTCGTCCTTCCCGATCACTGGATCCGCTTCCGGGTCCGCCTCTCAAATGATGTATGCGTGACGCGTTTCGCCCGCCTCCACAGGCTTCCTCTGACACCATCATTCCACTCCAGCCCTCTCTCTTAAGCGTCTGTCTCCTCCCCCTCTATTGTCCCATTGGTCGGGGGTCTAATCAACCGAGCTGATCTAGCTCCTTCATTATACAGATGTAGATTCGAACATCTACATCTGTATAAAGTAAGTTCCACCTACTGTTGTATGCAAACGTTTAATCTAACTAGCTTACTTAGATCAATTAAGGGCTGGTGTTTATCTAATAATTGCACACAATATCAAGTCAATCGAATACAGAACATATATTGTTCTTAAAGATCAATAATATAAAAAATATACACACTTAGATTTCAGTATTAAATATACACATCAATCAGATGGAATTAGAAGAATGTTGTTTTATAGTTATGGATATTCTTGTTTAAAGAGATATTCACCCTTAATATCATACTTTAGTCTATATATTTGTCCACTAAGGACAGTGTACCACAAAATCCAAAACACTCTTATTTAGATACCAAAATGCTATAAAATAATACAAATTCATAAGACTCAAAAATTACACAGGGTCCTTTTATATAACAGTACTGATACTCTCTCTATGCTCTGTTTGCACAGCATTATCAAGCTATCAGTGGATATACTGCTTGGTGTTATTGTAGCCCAGTCGCAAATTCTATAAAGGAGTAACCTGGCACACTTCCCTTGTCCACATGGTCAATTAATTGGTCAATTAATAAAATCATGAAGCACAGGGAAATGGTGTCCCCACCAGGGCCAGCAGGTGAGGACTATTAAATACCTAGTGTCCCTCCATCGTTTGGCATACGGCTGCTCTAAATAGAATAACTGTAAAGACCTATTTACCCCAGATGGGGTTAATAACATGCAATAATAACATACTATTGTCCATACCCAAAAATTGGCTAGGGTTCTCAAAGTCCCTAACCTCACCCCTTAATTAAAATATCATACCTATGCCGGTCACCCTAATAATAGTAATGGAGTCTCACTAGAGGTGTCCTTAAACACACTATGAACACTGTCTATTCTCAGAAAAGACCGTGTTTGCATGGCAAAGCCTGTAGGGAGAATTTTTGCCCAAGAATTCCTACATTAAGCTGAATTTTAGTTTGAAACCCTAGAGGCCCCTCCAGTCCCAGTTGCTTTGTACCCTGCTGTCTGTACTTGTATATACAGCAGATTTCTATATGAGAACCTACTGTTATTCTCAATACCCTAAAGGGAAACTATAGTCACACAGACCACTTAATAGCATTAAAGTATATCGTATGAATCAACTATTAAAGGTTAATATTTAGGCATTAAGCTTCCTATTTTCAGTCATCTATGGCATACTATATCTGTTTGTAAACTGTTGGTACAGGTTTGTTTTGTATATATTTTTTTTCTGTTTAAAAACATCAACAAAATTTATTAAGATTAAAAAAAAAAAAGTTGGATAATTTTATTAATTTATATATATACACAACGACCTATTCATCAACACAGACAGACCGACTCACACTGACACACATTCATTGATACATACAGACACACTCACACACTGGCGCACATTCATTGATACATACTGGCACATTCATACATAAATACAGACGCTCAAAGTGACACACATTCATAAATACAGACACATACAAGCATTTGCATTTGATATTGTTCTCTGTTCTTGTTAGACAATTGATAATTACGTGTATGCGTGAGTGTGTTTTCTACTGGACAATAGTGTTGCTATATTGCCTCCAGCTGGTCATACAGTGGAACTGCAAGTATTTTTATGATTTAAAGTACCACATTATGTTTTCCATTATACAGCGTAGGTAAGGTTGGATAAAGGATTTACATGACCGTGTCTTCCATGGACATTCACAGTAATATAAATAATATGTTTACCTTCTCTGATCCAGCGTAGTTAAATACTACAATTTTTTTCCCTTTTTTTTTTTTTGCAAACCAGATTTAGGCATCCATAGATGTAAAGTGTCCTTTACATCTGTATTTGAAAGCCAGATCTGGGCAATGCTAATAAACATGCCACGGTTTAATATGTTGTCTTCTTGACCATTAGGAAGTCATGAAATATAACTAAACTAAAGATACGTTCTCCTTAAAATTAGACTCTTGAAGACTCGAACGTTCTAAAATCGCACTTTTTTATTTTTTTTCTATAAGGGCAGAAAATCCAAACCTCATCACACCACTGCATTCTTTGATAGTATCGAAGGCAACGCATTTCACATAACTTTAACCAATGTTTGCATTCAGTCTATTTAGTCTAGAGATAATGGCTCCTCCACGACTTTCTGATACATACTATAGAAATAATTCTTAAAGCCGGGAGAATGAATGCGTTTTCTATGCTATATGTCTGGTTTGGTGCACAACAAGGTGTGACCAGTCGCAGGAATTTAGAGTGTGGGTGGGAGATGGTATCTGACTCCTCAGTGTTACTACGGACAGATATGTATAGAATTACTATGTATGAACACACAGGAAAGGAGAAAAAATATACACTTCTATTTACAATCGCTAAACCTATTATTGAAGTTAATTGCAGCAAATCTGATTATTAACCCCTTAAGGACACATGACGGAAATATTCCGTCATGATTCCATGTTATTCCAGAAGTTGTGTCCTTAAGGGGGTTAAATTGGGTTATTTCTAATCCTTTCCTATGGTTCTGCTGACCCGTGTGATCACACCAGTTTCCAGATCGACCCTTTTTTGTATGACCTGAAGAGCTTACACTCTTCACAATAAGAAGAGTGACTGGTGGTGCAATTAATCCATTCCTGCTCATTCATTGTGCATATTAATGCTTTATGTAAAAAATAAAAAATAAAAATCAAGTTATCAACTAAAAATATATTCGTTAACAATTTGTTTCATTTTAATGTAGAAAACCGTGGATCTCCGCTACCAAATGTGTTAGTAGTTTTGCTCTCCACTACATTTTAAGAGAACTGAGCTGAAATTATTTAAAACACAACAGTAAGGAAAAAAAATCATCATTTGATTATTCCTATCTATTTCATTATACCTGCCTATTCAGCAGTTAACAAGTACAGCCTTCTGCATAACCTTCACCCTCTGTTTTTTTTAATCTCTCAAGGATTTGTTATCTCCTACCCAGACATTTTATGGTAGAAGGCAAGTTCACCTCCTTTCCATTGAAAGGTGAAAAAGGTGTGGACAAGTTGTATGTACCAGTATACCTTAAAGGGACACTATAGTCACCTGAACAACTTTACTTTAATGAAGCAGTTTTGGTGTATAGAACATGCCCCTGCAGCCTCACTGCTCCATCCTCTGCCATTTAGGAGTTAAATCCATTTGTTTATGAACCCTAGTCACACCTCCCTGCATGTGACTTGCACGACCTTCCATAAACACTTCCTGTAAAGAGAGCCCTATTTAGGCTTTCTTTATTACAAGTTCTGTTTAATTAAGATTTTCTTATCCCCGGCTATGTTAATAGCTTGCTAGACCCTGCAAGAGCCTCCTGTATGTGATTAAAGTTCAATTTAGAGATTGAGACACAATTATTTAAGGTAAATTACATCTGTTTGAAAGTGAAACCAGTTTTTTTTTCATGCAGGCTCTGTCAATCATAGCCAGGGGAGGTGTGGCTAGGGCTGCATAAACAGAAACAAAGTGATTTAACTCCTAAATGACAGTGAATTGAGCAGTGAAATTGCAGGGAATGATCTATACACTAAAACTGTAGGTGACTACAGTGTTCCTTTAATGTAGGAATAATCTCTCCACACTGCTCTTCCCCCATTTAGGATAGTTAGCATTTTTTAAAATCTTGTTTCACATGATCAAGGATAAATAACCTGACAATGTACTCTATTTATATGCCCAGTTATCACCAAGCAAACTGAATTCTGTGCCTTATTTTTACGTTTCTATTTAATAAGTAGAATTTTAGCTGTTTCTTTTTCAAGTAAAGATGTGCTAGTCTGTCTGCTAGTTTGATGCCTAAATTATTATTTTTTCTATCACTCCATAAAAAATATTTTGATGCATGATCTTAAAGCTGAGCTTAACCGTTTGAACTGATCCTTTTTATTACATTTGCTATTTATCGACACTCTAATGGCTGCAGAAGAGTCGTTGATGATGTTGATATAATCCTAGTCGCACCATTCCATGATTTTCGTACACTCCGCTTACCATTATCAGATTGGATGATCGTGGTCAAAAGTCATAAAATATTATTGATCGGTTACCATTAATTGTAATGTAGCCCTAAAGTTTGCTTATTGCTAGAGCTCAGATGGCATAGGATGAGTCTCTTTTGGACACCAGAGATGTGTAGAAGCTTGCCCTAAGCCCTAGGCACAAACATATAATGTTAAAGCACTGATTCTCTCTCTGCAGTAAGGACCATGACTGCCTGCCTAGCGCACATTACCTAAGTTCTGCCAATTCCAGCTGTTCCTGCTACGCTCTCTGGAGTAGGAGAGGTTCACCCACTAGAAGCTGGATCCTGGTCTTGGGTCCAGGGTGGGTGGAGGACGGTTAGTTCCCAGCCAACTGTAACGCTGAACGTGAGGACTGCGGTGCTGATTGTGTCTGGTGGAGTGCTTGGAGTCCTTGGTGAGCACTAGGAGCATCCGTCGGCAGAGGTACCCAACCGAGATACAGGAAGCTCCGTTAGAGACCCAAAATTATATTTCCACAATGCTTTACCCACATCTTGGTTCTGCTTCTAATATGTCTAGGACATCCTCACATTTTACGAGTAGCGAACTTTGACTACATTACCCAAATGTGCTACATCACAGAACAATGACTACAATATTGACTGCGCTACATAATTGCCAACTGACCACTGACTAAATTGTCCAACTGAGCTGCAGCACTGCCAGATCTGACCACTGGCTACATTACGAAATTGTGATTCAATTAAAGGGCCACTGTTGGCACCCAGATCACTTCAGCTCATTGAAGTGGTCTGGGTGCTGTGCCCCTTTTGCACCTAGTGCTGCTTTCCTATGGGGAAATCCTAATGCGACCATGCCCATTGTCGCGCATGCACATTAGGTCTCTGCCGCTGGCCAACGTCGGCGGGGAAGGAGGGTAGGTGGAGCCTGATTCAGCACCAAATGAACATGGGCACTGGATTCAGGTAAGTCACCGAAAGGGTTTTAACCCCTGCAGCACAGCGGGAGCGAGGGGGGCAAGGGAGGGTAGCACTTCAGAAATCTATAGGGCCAGGAAAATGGCTTTGTTTTCCTGCCACTATAGGATCCCGTTTAAATGGTGAAATCTACAACTCTTTATTCTGAAGCTGGGCGTCTCCATCTTCGCTCCCTGTCAGTCATTGTTATAAGCTCTGTCCTTTGCACCTGACATTTAACCAGAAAGCATACAGAGAAGAGGAGAAATTAAACAATGTTTTTTTTTTTTTTCTCCTCTTCATGAACAATATTGTGTCTATGCTTTGCCTTGTCTGAACTGGATGTCACTTGTAACTCTGTAATATAAGATGGAACATCTCATGGGGGGGGGAAAGGGTTAACACAAGTTATGGGTGATTTTTCAAATGGTTTATTAACCCCTTAAGGACACATGACATGTGTGACATGTCATGATTCCCTTTTATTCCAGAAGTTTGGGCCTTAAGGGGTTAAATGGTGTAAAATCTATATGTGTCAGCCCCCCTTAATACAATCCTTTTATCTTCTACTGCACGGAATAGTTGTACGTGTCCTTGATCTTGGTTGGGGTAATTTCTTCCACGTCACTCATTCTGTGAACGTATCGGCAACATTTTAACCTGATCCCTATTTTACATTTTAGGATAGGACATAGGTGCAATTTCTCTAACAAGAATCTGGGAAATGTGCCAAATAAAATATTTTTTATAATTTTGTCTAATGTTTTAGATCCTTTATTCAGGTTAAAGTACCATGTTTTACAGTAAGAGAAGCTGTGCTCCACTTATAATAATTATTGTAATACTCTATAACCTAGGAATAAATATTCATGAACAAACAGAATAATAATTCATACATTAACAGCTTTTACTGCACTTGGGCTCACTGTGACTGTTAGATGGATGCGGAATTAAAAAAAAAAAAGAAAAAAAAAAAGATTCGTGAGACCGTAAATTGTGTTCAGTATTTCTCAATCTGCTCAAAAGAGCTTGCAATCTACACGCTCAATAGTATGTGCTGGGACTGAGTGATTGTTAAAGCAAAAAAAAAAGTTTTAAATTAGATTCCATAGTGTGATATTACCATGTATCCCTACATATCAGATGGACAAAGACTTTATCTTTATGGGTGTGGCCGGGGAGAGGCTATTCTGAGAAATTTTAGGTGACTTACTTATAATTAATGCAACTAAAATGTAATTTAGAACAAGAAAAATGTATCCTATTTACTCCGACTGATTTCTAAACACATTTATTGGAGTATAAAGACACACCAACAATATGGAGCTCCTAGAAAAGAGGGACGTTAGGATAGAAAAGAGGGACAGAGGGATTTGAGGCTAAAATAGGGACTGTGCCTCCAGTGGTGAAACCGACCTCACCACTGGGCATTGGAGAAGACTGATTGCCAGCCTCCTGCCATGTGACTATTGCCCTTTAAAGACATTATTTGGGCATATTGTGTTTTATTATGCTGCTGCTGGCCCTTTAAGAACCATCTGGGGACATACTGTGGAGTTACTGGGTGGCCACCATTTCATGTATCAGAGGCACATGGTGAGAACAATGGATGAAGCACATGGTGAGAACAATGGATGGCGGTCATTTTAACTCACAGACACTGTTTGGACTTTTCTACACTGTGCCATCGCGCCGGTATTTGGTGCACAAAGACATCGTGCAGTAGTTTTAAACTATACAATAGGGGACACATTATACAGTAATTATTTTTCGTATAGCCTGTATATGTTCTGCGGAATCTGCATTAAACTGTATCTTCCAAACTACTGAACAAATCTGGGTGAATTTCGGATATGTGGTTCACCCAGATCCCCTGATTCCGAGGATATACTTTATGGGGTTATTGCATGTTTTGTGGTCCCTGTGATATGTTTTATAATACTGTATTTCTCTGCCTGTGATAATTATATTAACCATTGTGTTCAGTAATCATATCACAGGCAGAGGGGAGGATTTTGTGTGGGAGTGTCTGTGTTTATTGTACGGATTGATTGGTTGTATTTCAACACCCTGTGGGCAGTACTATGTTTGTGGATTGTGAATAAAAGAGGCTGTATGTGCCAGTATGGTCAGTTCTACTTCATCCTCAATTTGGAGTGCCGTCTCTTATTGGGGGAATCTGCTACAAGGGATTGCTATGCTCTGCATACTCCCTTGCTATGTTCACTGCTAAGCTCTTGTAAGAGCTTGTTCCTGTCTTGCTCGCTGGAGGAGTCTACGGTGGTCATGGTGTCTGCTGTAGTGCTTGGAGTACTCAGGAAGCACTAGGAGCATCCTGTAATGGAGGTACCCAGTCAGGGTGCCCGTCGATCAGTTACACCTCCTAAATAGGGACCCTTGGAATATATGTAATAAGAGCTTTAATATCCGTTTAGTTTGATAACGAGCTTGAAATCTGCTCTATGGTTTCAAATAAACCATACAGAGCTTGCAGTCTACTCTAGATTATTAAAACGAGTGTAAAAAAACTTGCCATTTTTGTCCCATCATCAAGCTGCTCTAAACAGCTTACAATTCGTTCTCCACCTTTCAGTTGTGCTGTACAATTTGTCCAATGTGCTCTGTGCCTTTCCAGTACTCTGGCTATGGTGGGTACACAAGGTTTGAGATAGGATTTACATGAACGCAGTATTAGTCTAATGTCTCTCTTTTTCTGTCTCTTTTGGGTATAAAGACAGTTGGGCCCCAGGATCATTTGGAGCCAGTTCTGCCAGTAACCCACCGCACTTGGCACATTTTGTCGTGAAGGGGAAGGGTGATCATGTCCAGATTTAGTGTGTGTTTGTTATATAGCTGAGCAATACTCTCTTTCCACCAGTATGCAGATTTCAAAGTCAGGTGCACTGATGCACACACAGAACCTCTTACGTTGCCATTTTATTAACCTTACGTGGTATCTCTGATCATTGCTGACCAAGGAATGCACTGTACAGGAAGAGACTCACACAATGCAATCCTACATTACATCAAGCATTTTATTACTTTATTTAACCTCTAACTGCCAACAAAGCTGTATGCATAGTCCTTTCTAGAAGCAAATGGGTTAAACGATCCAATACCCTGCCAAAAGGCTTTTCGCACGCCTCGACTCCAACTCCCAAGATAACGAGCCAAAAAACTGCTAATTTGAGTGCAAACATGGCCCATCATTTTCAGACTGGCGCAACATTCGTAAAGCTCTAAAAGCGGTGGAATGAGTAGGAAGATTAATTTGGTTTCTGTGGTGATTGCTCCTGTCTTAGAACTTTGCCCCAGAACTGCATGTTAGCCCATGCCCTCTGTTTGCCAAGGCTTTGTGGCCGCAGATCCCTATAGACACTGAGGGCAGGGATCGTTACAAATCACAGACTAATCGATCATCCCTGCTCCGACACCCCTTTCCTCAAACCCTGCAGTTTGTTTTACAGCTAATGAATCAGCAGTTGGCATGCCATTAATTCACAGCCAAATATTAACTGCTCCCTAACACCTCTACCTCTCCCGTACCAGTCCACATACATTATATATGACCTTGTTTCCCAGATGAACTCACTGCCCCCTCTCTCCCTGTGCCTATTTTGCCAGTGACAGGCATGAAGGCCATCTCGTCACCTCTGCCCCTTATTCTTTCTTCTCATCCATCACTTGGCTCTTGGCAACCCTCTGTATGATGTGAGGAATGGACTGGAGGTGGGTGGGCTGTCTGTGGTTTTTAGAAGACTGGTACTCTCCCCCTTCATCTTTTCTGAACTGCTTTATAGATATGTTGGCTCATGTTTGCTCGTTGGATGTCTGAGCTATGTATAAGGAAGGATTTCCCACTGGGGGGAGAAAGGATAGCAAGGCATGAAGGCAGTGCAGCTCTGCGCTCTGTAATTCAAGCCTTTCCTTCTACTGGGATACTGCAATTCACCTCTGCATTGCCCTGCTGCAACATCAACTACTCTGCAGCGAGAGATCGCAAACTTCTTACTTCTCCCCATCCTGATCCTGGAGCAACTACGGCTTTATACAGCCAGCCAAGAGACCAGTGAGTGACCCGTTTCTATAATTCTTCACTTTGTCCCATCTAACCTTGTGACCAACTAACAGTATGCAAAAAAAAATAGATGTTTTACATTGCAATTTTATTCCCTTACTAGCAATCTCAGGTTTTAGACATTGTACTGAGCAGCAGATGGCATTATCTAGCATAAATGTAAATTCTTCCACATCAGACTTTCATAGTTTGGGGTGTTTTTTTTCTGTTTGTAGTTGTAAGTCCAAATAGCTGACGGGCAGAATTTTTTTTTTTTTTTTACCCTGACCAAGAAGGCTTGCAATCTGAATTGATGATGGTAATGAGCAGTCAGTGCTTATTAAATGTAAATATACTTTAGTTACAAGTGTGAGACATGGAGAGTTAAGAATTAAATTGGTGTTTATACAATTGTAAAATATGTAAGAAAATATTTAATTTTTTTTCCTTTTTTTAAATTTAATTAATTTAATGAATTGCTTGTTGAGACTGGATTAGCCCAAAGCCCAAATGATCTCTATAATAAGGTTATACCATTTAAACAAAATCATATTTGTTTGCATTCGAGTATTTAAAAATGATTATTACGGTTACGTTTCCACTGATATATATAATATTTAAGGATGAAAGTCTTATTAAAGGCATTAATAAAGGTCTATAGAGGTTTCTAGACTGTATCACTAATTGCTTCATTACAGTTTTTTTTCTGTACTCATTCATCTACATCTTGTCCTTGCGTTGTAATCCTTATGGGGATGCTTCAGATAAACCTAAATCAATCCATTTTATTAGACTGGAGAAATATGTATTTATTTTAATTATACAGACTAATTTTACAATGTAATGGCCAAACTAACTGGTAGGAAATTATATATATATTTTTTTTTTTTTTTTTTTTTTTAATATGTCATGTAGCCATATTTTACTTTGCAAACTGCACTTTAAAATGAAGAAGAGAAATTAATTTTTGTTTTTTGAAAATAAATTTTATTTCAATTAATTATTTGCTGAACTCTTTTTCACAAAACTTTTTCACAATAGTTAAACTTTTCATTGACAAATTCTAAGACAAAATAACCATTCAAAATGGGACACTCCAGGCTCCCACACGTTAGGTGCACTGTGTAGGTTAGGTTACAGTTATACTGGGTGGGTTTATATTATTAAAGGGACACTCCAGGCTCCCATACACATTAGATGCACTGTGTAGGTTAGGTTACAGTTATACTGGGTGGGTTTATATTATTAAAGGGACACTCCAGGCTCCCATACACGTTAGATGCACTGTGTAGGTTAGGATACAGTTAGTTATACTGGGTGGGTTCATATTATTAAAGGGGACACATGGTTTCTACACAGACGCTTGCTCTGAGTGAAGATTTTGCTAATGCATTTTTGACGATGGCTGGAATTGCCTGCTTAGTAAACACATTTCTCCATCACAATGAATTCTTTATCATTCATGAAACCAATCTGTTTTCAGACTGTTGAAATGCAATAATGTCCTTGGCATTAATACATTATCTGTCTGTCATTATGGTTGCTATGGTTGTATCTGCTTTTCCATTTCAGCATTTATACAGCTTGTGAGTTGGGAAAAGGTAACACTGATTGGTTTTGTGCATCAATCTGGCCTTGTTACCACAAATGTTTTTTATTCAGATTAGGTTTTATAAACGACCTATGTAACCTCATGGGCAAGGCCAACTCCAAGCTCCAAGCATTCACGTGGTTTATTTTCATATAACCATGAAATTTAGTAAGCACTTGTAACATGTTCTACTATATATCAAACACGGTCAGATTAATTCCTTTTAGTTAATAAAAAATGTTTTCTTGCTCCCACACGGACCCTACCCGCACTCAAAACAGACACACCAACCCAAACCACAGACCCAAACAGAAACGAAAGAGACAAAACCTGACAAACACAACACAGGAAGAGCCACATACGCTCTCAGAGACAAAAACGACAGGACCCGAAGCCAAGTGACAACCTCCACCTGAGACATAGAAAACTGTACCACTTAACCTAGAAGACTGTTCTGAGGTTTCGCAATAAATCGTACCAATGCCATTGAGTCGAAACAAAACTGTAAAGCCATTGAATGACACTACTACCCTACCCCTACCTTTATTCTGTACCCTTTACCTCACCTAAACCTGAAAAATAAAGAATTTATAAAAAAAAAAAAAAAAAAAAAATGTTTTCTTGGACAGGCTCTTTAAGGAAAATATAGTCCAAGTTTACTGGACTTGCCACGGATGTTCCCTGTTACATACTTACAGCTATAAATGCTATTCAGTATCTATTTTGAATGTATCATGCTATTTCTCTTATTATGATATATAGGCTGTCCAATGGAATAATGTAGGCCAGTTTTTAAAAATTGTTGGGTATGGGTTATTTAATGACTGACCTATAAATCCGCAATGTTACACATACTCTTTCTGAAGGTTGTTTGACTTGAATTTCCTAACGTAAAGGAAGTATCCTCAGTTGTATATCATCACCATTGCTAAACCACTGCTCAATTCTCTGCTATTTAGAAGTTGATGGGACACTGTGGCTCATTGAGGTGGTCTGAGTGTAATGTCCCATGTCCCTTAACCCTACAATGGTAATTATTGCAGTTTCTGAGAAACTGCAATAATTACCTCTGAGGGTTAACTCCTCCTCTAGTGGCTGTCTACAAGATGTTAATCCACCCCAGCATTCCCAAAAGTAAGGAGGCTGGGGGGATTGAATAAAAAAAAAAAAAAGTGAATGTGTTAATGTGTGTGTATGTGTTAGTGAGTGTGTGTGTCTGTTAGTGAGTGTGTGTGTCTGCTAGTGACTGTATGTGTCTGTTAGCTAGTGTATGTGTGTCTGTCCGTGAGTGTGTATGTATATTTAGAAGGCGGGGGGGGGGGGATACCTGAGTTTTGTCATGCCTAGGGCAGCACAAAACTAGGGTACACCACTGGGCATGTACATTGGCTTAGTGCAGGGGTAGGCAACCTTCAGCTCTACATATTATGTGGACTACATCTCCCATGATGCTCTTACAGCCATAATTCTGGCAAAGCATCAGGGGAGATGTAGTCCACAACATTTAGATTGCCGAATGTTGCCTACCTCTGGTTTAGAGAGTCAACTGAGCAATTTCAGCTTCTGTTAGTTCAAGGAAGACAACCGACGGACCTTAGATAGGTTGTCAGATCCTTCTCAAATAGTATGACAGCTTACATAGGGAGGGCACAAGAAGCACTTCTGGCACCATAACTGCTTGGAGTTTAATCTCCGCTGGAGATGTTATCAGTAGCATTCGTAGAAATATAGATAAAAGATTGAAACGATACAGCATTTCTCACCATTATCTCTCCCTTCTTTTAAGAGTTTTATATGTAAAGTGTAAACTCTATCTACAGACTTTTTTTGCATTGCATTCAGCTTTGAACACTTGGCAGATACACAGATTATCGAGATTCTCACACAGATGCTGATATTTGTAAGCCCATTCATAGGTACAAACTGCTTGCCATACAGATCATTTAAGCATGACTATGTCAAATGAAAGGTCTTTCACTTTTTCCAAGTGGAGTTGGTGATCTCTCCCAAGTGGAGAAAGTTTTTTTTGTTTTGCTGTGCACCCTACACTATATCTCCATACTTTCCAGGCTAAGGTTGGTAGGATAGGGTGGTTGAAAGTGAGTCTGGCAGGCTGGTGTGCCAGTCATGCAAATGCTATCCGTGACGATGTGTCTGCCCATGGCCGTGTCAGTCTGGCATGGGTGAGTTCTAGGATGATCAGTTGCGTTGCAGAGAACTGAATCAAAGCTATCCACATGCTGAATATTAAATGCAATTATAGTGTGTTTAAACATACGCTCTTACTGCCCTTTGGCCAAGTTGTCCGGACACTGTGTGACAGAGGCAATCTATTGGACAATTGTGATAACTGCTTGTGTCTTGTCTGCCACACAATAAAACCATGTAACAAGTGCTTAACCTCCCTGGCAGTAATCCTGAGCGTGGCTAGGGGTTAATTTTCAGTACCAGAAGTGATAACCCCTAGCCACGCTCGGGATTACACTGTAGTGTCACTTACCTTGTCCCTACGAGCCCCTGGTGTAAAAAATACACACAATACATTGTAAAAACAATGTCCCACTTTAACATTAAAAAATACTGATCTAATCAGACCATCAAGGAGGTTAATATGCTGTTCAAAGAAATATAAATGGGATTATTCTAGTCTTTTCTCAATTTTTTATTTAAAGAGACACTATATTCACCAGAACAATCAGAATTGACAATCTCAGCCAATCCAATCTGGCGGACCCACGCAACGCTGGAATAAAGGTGTGTTAAATAAATTTTTAAAGGGAAAAAAGATTGGGGCAGCCACCTAAATAGTTAGCTTAACACCATACTGTCAGGAATACACACTTGATGTGCTTTCATAAAGAAGTGAGTTTTCAATGATTTTGTGAAGGAATGAAGACTGGGTGAGCGTCTAACGGAAAAGGGAAGGGAGTTCCACAGGAACGGTGCTCTGGAGAAGTCTTAAAGGTGAGCATCATAGGTGGGAGTATGGACAGAGAATCAACACAGGTCTTCAGCAAAACATCAGGGCCTAGACAGGACATACTTGTGTATTAGGAAGGGGAGGTAGGTAGGTTGGAGCGTATTATATAAAATTTGTACGTAAGTACCAGAATTTTAAATTGAGCCCTATATCTTACGGGAAGCCAATGTAGGTACTGACAATGGAGGGAGGCATGGGAGGTGCGGGCCAACAGGAGGTTGAGCCTCGCCACCTAATTTATTATAGACTGTAATGGGGCATTCTGGGAAAACGTAAGACCACTAAGAAACAGATTGCAGTAATCAAGGCGAGAGAGGATAGGGGCATGGGCCAGCCCCTAAGCCGCGTTCTGCGTTAAATAGGTGTGGAGACACACTATGTTTTGAGATGGAAGCAGTAGGATTTGGTGATCAACTGGACATGAGGGGTGAAGGAGACCCTTGAGTTGAAGAGAACACATAGGCAGTGAGCCTGCTAAGTAGAGCTGATGGTAGTGCCATTGACTTGGAGGGAGACAGAAACTGGAGGAAACGTGGGATACTTGAGGAAGGAAAGACAAGAAGTTCTGTTTTGGACAGGTTAGGTTTAAGAAAGTGAGCATCCATCCAGTTAGACATAGCAGATAGACAGTCTGAGACATGAATCAAGAGGGACGTCGAGAGATCAGTAGAGGATAGATTTGCATTTCATCTGTATAAAAAAATTGGAGTGGAAGCCCAAAAAAAACTGATAAGTTTACCCATATCACATGCATTGGCGGATCCAGGGGGGGGGCAACGGGGCAATTGCCCCCCCCGAGAAATCCGCCGGTCTCCCTCCCCTGCCAGCCGTGCAATGTGCCTGCGGACCGGGGAGGAAGATCAGAGATCTCCCTCCCCGGTCCGCAGGCACAGTGCTGACAGCCGGCGGCGGAGGGAGGGAGTGAGAGAGGACCCGGAGCTCATTCTGCAGCTCCTCCGGGTCCTCCTCTCTCGAGATTTGGAGCGTTGCCGCGGTTACCACGGCAACGCTCCAAATCTCGCGAGAGTGAACTCTAGCCCGGGAGCGCGGGCTAGAGTTCACTCTCACCACTGGGACCACCAGGGAATCACCACTGGGACCACCAGGGATCGAAATATGTCCCCCCTCCTCCCCAGTAAAGGTAAGAAGGGAGGGGGGACATAGGATATTTATTTTATTAAATAAAATAAAAATATTATTTAAAAGCCTCCTTGCCCCCCCATACCACACACACTGCCCCCCCATACACACACTGCCCCCCATACCACACACTGCCCCCCATACACACACACTGCCCCCCATACACACACACTGCCCCCCATACCACACACTGCCCCTCCATTACACACACTGCCCCCCATACCACACACTGCCCCCCATACACACACTGCCCCACGACTGTCCCCATACACACACCGTCCCCATACACACACTTCCCCACAAACACTGTCCCCCATACACACACTGTCCCCCATACACACACTGTCCCCATACACACACTGACCCCCATACACACACTGCCCCACAAACACTATCCCCATACACACACTGTCCCAATACACGCACTGCCCCCATACACACACACTGCCCCACAAACACTGTCCCCATACACACTGCCCCACAAACACTGTCCCCATAATGCACATTGCCCCCCATACACACACACACTGCCCCACAAACACTGTCCCCACAACACACTGCCCCCATACACACACACTGCCCCACAAACACTTGTCCCCATATACACACTGCCCCCATACACACACTGTCCCCATACACACACACTGCCCCACAAACACTGTCCCCCATACACACACTGTCCCCATACACACACTGCCCCACAAACACTATCCCCATACACACACTGCCCCCATACACACACTGCCCCACAAACACTGTCCCAATACACACACTGCCCCCATACGCACACACTGCCCCACAAACACTGTCCCCATACACACACTGCCCCACAAACACTGTCCCTGACATACACTGCCGCACTCACACACTTCACCCTTAACACACACCACTGCTCCTATACCCTATATCCCAGCAGACCCCAGGTAAGTTGTCAAACTGTTCTTAAACAGTATGACTACTTACTCTGGGGTGGAATCCTGGCACTACTGACACCATAACTACTACACTGAGCTGTAGTAGTTATTGTGCCTGGATTATTTATTTAAATAATCTACAAGTGCCCCTCCCGAGATCAGGCTCTGGATCCTCCACTGATCACATGTGCAAATAATGCTCAGATTAAAAAGGGAGGGATGCTAGGGTTGCCATATTTTGTTATATTTAGAGCGTTAATGTTGATATCTTGCTGTTGGTTCTTCCATGGAGTTAATATAAACTACCTTTCTGAGCAAATTATATAATGAGAGAGCTTGGGGAAAAAAAATTTTGCAATGCAATTGGGGGCTGCAGTACAAATCCTATGTGTTAATTTTCTCATGCTCAAAGAGTTTTGGGACCCTATAGCTGAATGTGTGGCCTTATAGCTCAGGATCTTTTTGACCTTCATCTGCTCTGCTCTGCATGCCCGCTTCCAGACTCCTCGGTGAGTCCCGGAGTCAGCCAGCAGCGGAAACAATGATAGAGATGCACAGGAAACATGATAGAATGTGACATTACCTCTGGGTCTCTATTGCTGCACTTCTTTCCATCAACCAACCTCCAAGGTACAGAGCAATTTTTATTATTTTTTATTGTGTATGTGTATGCCTATATGTACCTGTCAGTGCCTATCTGTCTGTGTATGTATGTGTTGGTGCACATCTATGTGTATCTGTGTGTGTCTGTAGGTAACTGTGATTGTGCCAAGAGACAACATGCTAAGCAGTGGAATTAGGGAGGAGCACAGGTGGGGGTTTAGGAAGGGGTCACTAAATTATTTTTGGGCTCAAGCCTCAGGTGTTTTTTGACCCTAGCAACACCCCAGATAGAGATTGCTCCCCCTTTTATTATGTCTGTATCTATAAATGATAAAGTTGCTGTAGGAGACTCCATTCCAAGTTTATAAAAATGGGCTAGATTTATTCAGCCCGGTTAAAAATGTAATTGTGACTAAATTCAACATGATGAAAGAATAATTTCTAAATAGGTTTTGGGTCCTTAAACAGATGTTACTAAACCTTCATATAGTCCTAAAAATATTGATATTTGTTTATGTGGGTGAAACGGTTTACCTTTATTAATGGCTGTAACACAGGAACCACTTTGAAGTGATAATTCTCTAATACAATACAGTGTGTTGTGACTTTTATATCTCTTTATAAAGGCGCGATTTGCGCCGAAACGCGCGTCGAGTTGAGAGCACTCCAGAGCACTATTCACTGATGTGCACTTAGTTTGTTTCACAGTGTGGCTAGGTTGTTTGGCTGTTTCAGCTTTAGGAAAGGGCTCCTTAGTGGGTACTGGGAGCTGCCTCGAAGCAGTTCAAGGGAGTTATTAGTTTATCTAGCATTAAGATTGACTCATAATCTATCTAATTTTATTAGCAGTCATAGGCAGAATACATATTGACATTTTGTTCATATAACTTAGCACTGCCGTATCGTTACTCCTTTTTCTAAGTAACCATCTAATTATGCCATTATGGCTCAAGCAGTTTATTTAGTGTGTATATCTGTTATATAACTGCATCTATACCTACTTCCTGCCTACTACCACATGAGTAAATTGATTACTTAATTTCAACCTCTCCTAAGCAAGAGCTCTTAAATAATACTTTGTAATAATCTATCTGATATATTGCGGCAACGTTGCCTAGACACAGAATGTCCATTTTTATGACACTCCTCTTCTGTGATCTAAATGTATTAACTAGTTCTTTACTGACCTTATATCTAACTGTGGTTAATCCCCCTTTTTTCTGTTGAAGAATATCTGTTGTTACAATATTTTGTACCACTAGCCACTATAAGTTTGTTCACGTTTGTAGATACGTTTTTTCCTTTTTTAATCTTAATTAATAAAGTTCTATGTTTTTATCCTAATGAAGTGCCTTTTACCCATTTATAGTAATCTCGTAGTGAAACTCCCACTCTGCTTGGTTTCTCTAACAATTTTTTGCATCTATATTGATCAGTAAGAGTTACCCCCTGTTTGAGATTACTTCAGTAACCATATGTGAGACTCCTACATATGATTCATATGCAGTAGTCACTCTTTTATTTATTCATTTTTTTGTGTGACAGATTTATATTAACATTTACGTACTTGCAAAACTTACTGAAATCACATATGTTTTTGTATTCAACACAAAGAGGAAAAAGTTTCCTGGCACTCACTGGGGATAGGGGCATAAAAAATGGCTTCCTTTAGTCTGCCAAAACCTGTATGTACAACCTAAAACATATTTAATCTTGTCCAGGGTGTAGAATTTTTACTTAAACATTTAAAAGTTACAAAAGTGTTATTTTGCAAAGTGCCAATTTAGATTTCATTTATGGTTCCCCTTCAGAACTATTTCAATGTGTTCTTGTGCAACGACAAAGGCGTCCCTGAGAGGAAATTTCTCTCTATTAGCAATGAATAGAATCTTTCCCCAGCTCGGAGCTGAACATTTTTCATTGCTGTACAGCCCAATGAAGGAGTATAGCTCGCATTCAATGCAGTCTATAAATTTCAGTCTGTTTTCTCTATTTCGTGGTCGGGATGCGGCTGGTCGATGAATCACTTTGCTGACTACACATGGCATGTTTGAATTGGAGTTTAAACTGTTATTAGGGGTACGGGAAAATTGCTAGAATCTGCAAATGGTTTAGATGTGATGAGGGAACCAAGAATAGAAACGCAATATTGAAAAGGCCTGACCGCCATTTAATGTCTGGAGATCTAATGTTCCACTTGACTTCACCGCCATTTATTTCACTTTCCTAGAGAAAGGTTGTAGATGTCTTCTGGCTGGCAGAAATGGCAAGGTGTCTCATCTTCTTTATAAAAATAAATGTAATTCCATGGTCCGGTAGAATATTAGGAAATAAAGGCAACATGAGGTTACAAGAGTTTTTATTAAATGGACACTGCTTACACTCCTTGCATAGAAGCTCAGTAAAAGCTTAAATGGATTCTATAGGCACCAAAACCACTTTAGCTTAATGATGCCCCTGTAGTCTCACTGCTTAATTCTCTGTAATTTAGGAGTTAAAACAATGTTTTTAAACAACTCTAGTTACACCTCCCTGCCTGTTACTTACACAGCCTTCCTAAACACTTCCCGAAAATGAACCTAGACATTCCATGTTCCTTTATTGCCAGTTCTGTTTAAGCTAGTATTTCTTGTCTCCTGTTCTGTCAATAGCCTCCTAGATCCTGCAGGAGAGTCCCGTGTCTGGTTAAAGGTTAACTTACAGAGCAGGGGGATAAAAACTTCTAAAGCAAGTTAACATCTGATTGAAAATTAAACTTATTTTTTACATGCAGACTGGTCATTGCTGCCGCCCAGGAGTAGTGGGAGTTTGAGCACAGGACTTAGTTTTGTGTGTCTGCAATTGTATATACCTGAGGTCTTTCAAAGCATTGGATACATTTACATATATATATATATATATATATATATATATTTTTTTTTTTTTTTTTAAATTGTGCTGATTCTGCACTACTGTTTCCAATTAATCCTGTCCCAGATAACTCGTTCGTGAATATTACTCACACCAGCAGTTTTGGTTTTTCCTTGTAATTGTGGTCAGTTTTTTTTTTTTTTCGTTTTTTTTTCCTTGGCATAACCCTTTAGGAAATGAGTCTGAATCAGTTGCCAAAAACTAACGCAATAATCTACTCTGTGCCAGAGACAAAAGGCAGGATCAAATATTTATTTTCATTATCCGCACCCACAGAGTTATTCACTAAATGTGAATTGCTGGAAATTCAAAGTCAATTTAAATTTCAGGCCAAAGTGACAGAAATTAAAACATTACTGACCAGGAGAATTTATCCAGATTAGCTGTTTAAGCCTAAAATGTGAAAATCATTGCTTTAAAGGAACACTGTATGGTCAGAAACAGAATCGTGTATTCCCGACCCTATAGTGGTAAAAACACTATTTAGCTTACTGGCCCTCCTTACCCACCGTTAAACATAGTAATAACTTACCTTATTTCCAGCGCTGGTGTTGGCTCTGCCCCCGAACCGCCTCCTTGGCTGACATCACAATTGACTATATCGGGCCAATCACATAGGAAAGCATTGGCTTGGCTGAGATGGTCAATTCTGATTATCTCAGACAAGGAGGCGGGGGCGGACCCAAAGACTGCTCTGACCAATCAGCAACTCATAGAGATGCACTGAAACAATATATCTCTATGGAGAAAGTTCAGTGTCTCCATGCAGAAGGTGGAGACACTGAATACCAGTCACACTGTGCAGCATTCTCCCAGAGAGCATCTCTAGTAGCCATCTGAGGATTGGCCACTTGAGGTATCCCTAGGCTGTAATGTAAACACTGTCTGTGACGGAGCTCCTGTACTCTAACAGTTCGCTTCCTAGTCGCTTGTCCGGATCCTGGAGCACTTCAACCCTAGTCACTGAGGCTTGACTGAAGTTTTTCTGGTGCCTTTCCACCCAACCAGGCTGCAGCTCTCCTTCCATTTAGTTGGTAACAAGGATCAGCGGGACAAGAGAGCACACAAAATAATAAAAAATATACAAACACCCTGCACCTATAATGGTCACAGGGTGACAAAAACATAAGAGCAATTTAGGAACCTTTGTAAAATGTCCTGCTCCCAGTGATGGTGATTACTGTTCACAGCAAAAAGCCTGCAGGGACAGGGTACGGGGACAATAAGTTGTAGTTGTTCTGGTGACTATATTGTCCCTTTAATTACTGACATGGTTATACACTAAACTCTGAATTGTAGAATTAACAATTTTGGCAAACATCTGATTTAAAGAAATTCTTCAACTACACAATAGCCGCAGCATGGCTACTATGTGTCTTAATTTATGTAAAGTTGCTAGAATTCAGAATTTAGCAACTAATTCTATAAACTTTGAAATACAAATCACAAATAATTAGGCTAAATTAGCTTATTTGAAAAATAATTCTCCAACTTGTCTATAGTTGAGATTGATTTCTTAACTCTAAGGTTACTCATAAAAGCTGAAATGTATTCAAGAAACCTAAAATTTGCAATAATATTAACATATAGTCACAAGTCAGAGACTGCAGATTTTGAAACCTTTTCTAACCCTGCTATTTTTCCATACCTGACCTCAAATAATCTGAGATTCACTTGTCAATTCTGCACAATTCGCAGTTCAGTAAATTAACCCCAGAACTTGCTTTGGAGTTTTAGGGCTACAGTATATGTTGTTGCTTGGACTTTGTTGCTGTTTTATTACATCAGTAGATGAATTGCAAATCATTTTACTGTGTTACTAGATTAAACACAATTTCTATTATTCATGCATACATTATTCTCACTGTGCTCCCTCTCACATCTCATAAATAAGTGATTCTGACTCCTGATGCTTGGCTGCTGCCAACCACATTTGCCAAAAGATACCTACCTTCAAGAGTGCCAGTTCCAAGACTGGATCCTGGCATCAAGCCATCGTCTTGCAGTGATTTCTGATCACACCCTTGCCTCTTTAATTTAATCGTTTTCTCACAAACCAAGCTTCCCTCAATGCAGATGTCTTCACACAGGCACCAAATGAACAAATTCTGTTCAAGATTGGCATCCCTGTTGATGGTTGAGAGAGGGCACCACATCAATTCTGGTGGCTGATAGCGAGCCGAGCACTGCTTTTGTGGGTGAGAGAGGACACTCTGGTCGGTTGGTGAAACAAGAAATCTCTGTTCTCGTTTGTTAGACTAAAGACTTGGTGGTGGTGTAGGGAAATCCACCCTTGCTGGTTGTGGAGAGAGGGCATCCCTTATGGTGGCTGAAAGAGGACGCTCTTGTAGGTGGTTGAGTGTGACACCTGTGTTGAGAGAGAACCGCTCTTGGTGGTCGCATTGGATTCCAGTGTTGGTGGTTAAGAGGGACTTGTGTTTGTGGTTGAGAAAGGACAACTTTGTAGATAGGTGAGAGAGAATATCTCTGCTGGTAGATGTAAACGCCAACCATCCATAAGTGTAAAATGCATGTAACAAAAATGTTAAAAAAAAATCCCAGAATATTCTACAGTGGACATGATACTAGACCCATTTTGGTGGTTCAGGAAGAGCATCCATGGTGGTGGAGAGACGGCATTCCTTGTGGTGTTCGAGAGGACATCCATGTTGATGGACATACAATGGCATGTGAATAGGTAGTTATGAGATTAACACACCTCTACTCAAGCACCAAGGATGCTATGAAGCTAAATTTGCCATTGCTTGTTTTAATTTACATGAAAATAAATTTCCTCTTCATCTCTACGCAATCTTCACAGTGGGGTCTGCAGTTCTGTACTGATATTTCCCTGGCAGTAAATTTCAGAGCCGAGATATTCTGCCTTACGTTCAGGATCCCTATAAAGTATCTCCAGATGTTCCAAGAAGAAGTAGTTAGACAAAGTAAGAGAAAAACCCTTTTCCTTTGCGGGATATGTACAACCGTCTAAGCATTTTCAACTGTATGGCAGCTTTGTATTTGCTTAGCAAATCAAGATATAAGTTGTTTCATTAATTAAAAACAGTAATGACGCTACTTGCACAATAATCCTAAATCTACCACCACTTAACCCATTCAGTACCATATATATACAAGCCTGTAGGAAGTTGTCAACTGTCTACTTATACAAATGACCTGGTACCATTGACAATATTATGTTCTTGTTTAAATATAATATATTCTGTATATTAGAATTGATTTTTTTTCACTAATTTACCAATAAAAAATAAAACTAACTATTCCTTTAAAGAAAAGCTCATTTCTAATCGGTCCTTTCAAACCTCTGCATCACTCATACAATGTAAAATGATTTCAAAAAAATGAATTAAAATATTGCAGACGTGCTAATATCCACTGACTTAAATGATTTAAAGGCTGTTTTTATTAGAGGAGTTGGCAATCTTTGGCAGCCGTTGGTCATTTTGATGGGATTTATTATGGATTCAAAAGCGTCACAGTCATACCACTTTGGTAGATATGGAATTCCACCCACTTTTGGCAGTACACAAAAAGGAAACCACTTGATGGATTGTTAAGAACACAAATTATGCCTCATCAGGACTTCAAAGTAAGTTCTAATACTGCCACGTTGCTTTGGAAAGAAATAGTCTCCCTCTCTGAACAAAAAGACTGTTTCAAATCCCCTCTTTTTTTGTACTGATGGGGTAGTGTTTGGTGAGTCTTTGACTTGCAGTCCTTAGTACTTGATTCCAAATATATACGTTGTGGGTTGTTACGGTTGGAATCATACTGAAGTAAAATTTTAATGGAGGCTACTGACATCGGACTCTAGACCCATAATGTCCACCATGATTTGAGCTTGAATCCATTTTGTGTCTAGGTCATGGGTAGTCAACCTGGTTCCTACCACCCACTACTGGGCGGTTTGGGATTTCAGGTGGGCGGTGGTGGGTTCTGCAGAAAACGCCCAGTGGGCCTCAATGGCCGTGGACCAAGGCTGGCAGGGGAGATCCTTTCATCTCCCCTGCCGGTCCATGCAGAGCCTTGCTGCAAGCCCTCTTGGGCTGGTGAGGAGATCAAAGATCTCCCTCACTGGCCCGCAGGCACTTCGTTCCAACAGAGGAAGGGAAGGGCTTGGGGGCACTGTGGTCTAGATGGACAGCTAAACAGTTTGCTCGTGTGGATCTTTGCTGAGTATGTGGTATGCAGACAATCACAGCCCAGGAAGTGTAGTATAACCTCCATAATGTCTGTCCAGTGCTTGACTGTTTCTAGGTCTTACCAAGGGCTGTGCCTAATAACTGTGTTTCTGTTGTTTCTAATCATTCTAATCTAGTGAATGTAATAAGAACTTTGCCATGGTCACATTTCCACTCCACATTCCATTAGAATATAATTCAAGCACCATCACCACTACAACTACATGTAGTAGTTATGGTGCAGGAGTGCCTTGGCACCTCCATTGTAAATAAACAGTTTTTGAATCATTTCACTTCTTACCTGTGATCCACTGGGCGCCACACGGCAGGGCTTAGCTCAAACACAGAACGTCCGTCTTTCCATTGGCTGTGGAGGCGGGGAGCAGATGGCTCCATCCATCTTTGACCCATACATGGGTATGGAAAATGTTGTTCTAGTCCGGAGTCTACACCACCCCATGGGATCTGGGCCAGGTCTATGTTCAAACTGTATTCCTTGATGTGTGAGTTGTGCTTGAATTACAGGTGCACACGCCTAATGTTTATGATGAAAGATTTTGGCCACTCCATGTGTGAAATGGTGGCCATTCTATTCTTCATATGTGCACAATTTTTTTGCATGAGTTTAACAGCAGAAAGTCTGTGCATTGTGTCAGACAGGTATTTTTGTAGTTCCACGGAATGGAGCTTCATGATGCTGCGTTAACATCTCAAGCAGGATGACATGATCTCACAGATGTGAGTAAACTCTTTCCTTAAAGGGTATTTGTAATTCCAGGTACAACTTACAGAGCATTGTCACAGGTTTGTGGTGAATGGGCTCAGTATGCAGAGATTTTAAATGGATACAGTCACGGAGTTCAAGGTTTTAATTATAAGGCAAAGTAAATCTAATTGAAAAGTCCCAATGCAAAACAGAAGTGGTAAATAAGACAGAATCTTGACTGGCAGATCAAGAATTAAAAAGTTATTTACCAAAGCATCGGTGCTGGCTAAATGATGCAAAGGCTTAATCAAAGCTAGAGAAGGTTTGGCAGGGGTTAACCAGAGCTGGAACATGAGTGCAGGGGTTAACTAGGATTGGAACAGGCTTAAGGAGCTTGTGACCTTGGCTTCTGTGCTTAAACAGAAAAGAGAGAGGGGACACCCACCTACAAGGGCCCATATAATCAGAGGGCCTCTCCAATGCAGGCAAGTGTCCATGCCACCTATGTGGGCAAGATGCTCTGTCCTTTTAAGCATCCAAGTGGCTGCCTCCCCAGCACTATTCCCGAATATACCCCCCCAGGGTTCTGACACCCTGAGGAGAAAAATACAGCATTAATTTAAGCCAATATCAAGTGCACTTAAATTGTATTGGTGCCCGTATTGTCCCTTTAAGTATTGCATTTTCGATGTAAGAGAAAAAATGAAATAAAATGCAGTTTATTTAATTGTTGTCTATCCTGCTAAACCTTGCATACATAATGCCAAAGCAGTTATTGGAATTTAGAACTGCTCACTTAATACTTGAAAACCATACAGCTAAAACAATTTTTATTATGTCTACTCACTTAAGCTTTAATAATCCATTTAATCAAATCCCAAATTCTAAATTAAAAAATATAGTTCCGATGCACTTTTTTATTTTCCTTCATTTCCTAAAATTCTTTCAAGAGGGAAAAAAAGAGAGCTTTTTTTTTTCGTTTCTTAACTCAATCTGTTTATCAATGGCCTGAGATAAACAAAAAAAGAATTGGCTACAAATTTTTACAGCCTTGGTTTGAAAGGTACAAAAGCAAACTCTTATAAGGACGAGTCTTTCTCCAATTAATTCTCTCCAAGAATGTGTCTTTGTTATAACCAGTATTTGAGGCCCAACCCGGGATATAAATGTAGATTAAAAGCCAGTTCACAGAGAACGTAGTATGTAAGGACTCTGCATCGTGAACGGAATCTTAAAGGACTAGCCTCGTCTTCTTTTGTTTCTTCCTAGATCAGCAGGCTATTGACAACCTCCATTTTCATTGTAGAGCAGCCAAACGTCTCTGTCCTAAATCCATTCACCCCACGGGTTGGGACTGTGGGAATATGAGCGTGAAAACTAGATTTCAAAGAGAACTTCAGAGACCTTTTGGGTTTCATGCGGCTTGCATTGAATATAGGAAATAGAGCTGTGAATGCTTACAGATGTATGCAGGCCGATCCACTCACGTTCAGCTGAAACCCAGCAAATGTAGGCAACTAGGCTGACTTTCAAAAGAGAATGCAAGAACAATGGTCCTGTTCAAAGACAAGCAGTTGTAATATCAGGTGGTCCAATATGTGAAGAATAATAATTCCTCTTTCAGATAATTCCTCTTGTTTTTCTTGAAGTGGTTGGTTGTATTTCAAAGAATGTAATAAGTCAATCACTGACCAAGAACCAGATTTTGAACATTGGGTAGATGCAGTATTGTATGTTGTAACAGATATCCCTTTACCCCAGCTGAGTACCTCCGCCAAGGACCGCTTCCTAGCTGGAACAGGGGACAAGCCGCAGCACTTCTGCCCACAGTCGCCGTGGCTTGACTGGGGCCCTGGAACCGCTCCTTCCTGGAGCCAAATGGGGAATTAGCTCTAGTCCTTTCAAGGACTTTCCCAGTTGAATCCCCTGCAAGCTGGAACAGCAGACACAGGAGTAAATCTTCTTTCCCTCCAATAACAGGACGACACACCGTCTTGTAGTGTAAGCTGGAATAGCAGTTTAATGGAGGCACACTGCCTTTTATGCAAGTTTTCCAACAAGGTTGACGCCCAGGTGGACCACGTTGGGCACAGGACACAAAGTATACAAGCCAATCAAAACAATGTAATTATGAACGGCACTCCCACATACAGTACACAATCCTTCCCCTTTGCCTGTGATACAATTAAGGTAGATAATACAATAACGTAATTATCCCCAGACAGAAAAAACATACATTATTACAAAGTCCCATAAGTACCCTGTTACGGTTGCCTCCAGGCTGGCTGGAAGTTGGACCGTAGAAATGCTCCTAGCGCTCACCAAAGGACCATCAGCACCGTAGACGCTATAAGCACTGCAGACTCCACAAACCGCCACTGCTGGGCTGGGATCTCGCCGTCTGCTATCCACCCTGGACCTACGACCAGGCTCCAGTACGTGAACCTCTTCCTTCTGTAGAGCGAAGCAGGATCAGGAACAAGAGCTCTTACAAGAGCTCAGTAGCTAAGGGAGTATGAAGAGCATAGCAATCCCTGTAGTGATTATAGCTGTCCCCTACAAACATGAGTCGAGGCTGCAAGTTAGAGGGTCAAGTAGTTCTTTAATTGGCACCGAAGGGCCTTCTTTTATGGAGGTCTTACACATACAGGACCGTCCACAGGGTTTTGCAGAACAACCAATAAACACGTAACATACAGTAAAAACACACCCATCAATAACACACAAATCCTACACTTTTTATACACATACAGTGTAACTTTAAAAATATACGTCCAATCTTCATAAATTACATATTTACAGAATCAGCATACTTTAAATATAAACATAACCAAAAATCACACACATCCCTCCAGTGGATAAAATGTTAGATGGAAGTCCTTTATGACCGACCGCAAGCACATTTTCATGCCCAAAACTGTTCCATAGATTTGGGCTGTGCGTTTGGTCTATTTCAGGCAGAAAGATGTACCATTCGAATGCACGAACGAGGCCGTTCGTGCATTTGGCTCAGTATAACAGTGAGTTCAAACTGCCGAACGTGACTTAGTCTCTGGGGCTTCAAACATAGTGTAGGAAAAGGTAAGGGTCAGCGTTCGGTTGAAAAAAGATGCATGAACTGCGGCCCCCCAGCGGTCAGCAATTTACCTTCAGCAGGCTCCCAGCCTGGGAGGTAAATTGCCTGCACGCTTCCACTTCTGGGTGGTCCGCCTGTGTGGTACTTGGTTCAGTAAGCCCCATTTACTGAACCAAGTGTAAAGAAGCCATGAATAAAGTATTTTAACCAAATCTGGGGACACGGGGGACACAGGCTTAAAGGGGCAGTGTCCCAAACAAGTCTGGGGACACAGTCTTAAAGGAGCATTGTCCCAATTTTCCCTATGTCCCAAAAATGTGCTTAAAGGGCCAGCACCAGTCCCATAACAGTCCATAAGCCCCAAAATGCTCACAAACTGTTCTTAAAGGGCCATACACACCAGGGCCATAGTCATGAGGAAGGAGGCTGGCAGTAAGGGAAGCAGGGCAATATGTCACTTAAAGAGACAGTTACAAAAGGCATTTTTTAACATACCCCAAAATACAACATATCCCCATAAAATCACATCCCCTGATCGCCTTGATCTGCGTGCACAACATATCCAAACATCACCCAGATCAGAGCAGGGGCTCAAAAATTCCATGAAAGTCCTACATTTGACCGACCGCACGCATGGCTCCATGCCCACAACCGTTCCATGAAATCAGTGCTAACAGTTGGTCAACTCCGGTAGTCTTTTACAGGTTTCCCTGCAGGGTCCATAGTCTGTGGGCAGGAGGCTGGCAGGCAGGCTTCTCCAGGAGCTCGTGGCAAACTTGGGTAAAAAAGGGAGTTTGCCACATATGTCTTCTTTTCAAAATTGTTGACTTAACAATTCCAAACATAGCATCACATTGCGAATGATTTTTAATGAGAATTACATTCTTTTTCCAACAGATGAACATGAAGCTGGGCCTGCAGTTATTACTCATCGACCTCTTGGTTCATACAGCGTGTGGTTTTATCTTCGGCACAGAAAGAAATTTAGGTACAGTATACTGTCCACTTGGCTTTTCTTGATCTAGCTAATCTTGTCCTATATCACTAAATTATTTATAAAGGTTTCAGTTTAAACAAAGAAGAGCTAATTTGTCACCAATACAGTAATCGACCCTGTACACAAATAATGTCAATGGTCTTTTTTTGCTTCATATTCTGCATTATCTCATACAGAAGATCATAAAACCTTGAAAGTGAAGATAAGAAATTCCACCACTTCTCCTGTGTTGGCTGGTACTCTCAACTTACCGTGCCACATCACCTATAAGACTCCACTAGAATCAACAAATGTTGGTCGCCAGGCTGTCTTGGCCTCCCCTCGAGTGAAATGGAGCTTCATCTCTAATGGAAAGGAAGTAGAGATCTTGGTGGCTCGGGGACACAAAGTAAAAATCAGTGAGGGGTACAGATTTCGTGCCAGTCTGTCGCACTATTCCAAGTCAGCAGATGACCTTACTCTGGTCCTGAATGAGCTGAGGACCAATGACTCTGGAATTTATCGATGCCATGTGCAGTACGGCATTGAAGATGACCACGACAAGGTAGAGGTGAAAGTTAAAGGTAATGGACAATAAGAAGCAGCAAAAACATTTAGAGGTGGAGTCATCTTAATATATAGTAGGTTCTTACCTACTATTTTTGCGTTTATTATTTATTTTTAACATGTCAGGTGGAAAAAATTAGATGATAGCATTGATGTAATCCATGTTATAATTATGGCTCCGCAGATGTAATCATATATAAGTGGGCCTAATTACTGCACATTAACCCTAACCCGCATTAATTTTTTTTATTCACCATTTACATGTAATGACTCTCAATCATAGGTATATAGTGTGTGTGTGCCAGCCTTAGGCACTACAACTCATTTGTGCTTCAGCCATCCAACAAGCTGTCTATCCCTACTGATATTTATGCATGTAACGTACTATATATTAAAACCCATGTTCTAACATCCTCTGCCCGCCTCATTTCCCAGGGGTCGTGTTCCTGTATCGGGAGGGTGTCAACCGCTATGCATACAATTTCTTTAAGGCACAGGAAGCCTGTGCCAAGATTAAGGCCCACATAGCCACGGCAGATCAGCTCCTGGCCGCCTATTACAGTGGATACGAGCAGTGTGATGCTGGCTGGATCGCTGACCAAACTGTCAGGTGGGATACCTTTTTGGGTTCTGCTGAAAATGCTATGTTTTATCTCTAAAATCCAACACAATGTAGACTATATAATGTTCTGTGCTTTCCAGGTACCCAATTCAAACACCAAGAGAGGGCTGCTTTGGGGATATGGATGGTTACCCTGGAGTGAGGAATTATGGCATCCTGGACCCAGATGACATGTATGATGTTTACTGTTATGTGGAAGAACTCAATGGTAATCTCATTACTGTAAATACAGATGTAGCTTTTTTATGTTTTATGAATGAAAATCACTTAATCTCAATATAGCTACAGAGGTGGTGCATTCTTGTCTCCGTCCTGCATGCTTCTCCTCACTGGCTTCTCTGCTCAGTCTGTCTCTGTCTTGTCTGTCTTGGTCTCAGTTACTGCTCTGTTCTGTCTGTCTTGACACAGTTACTTCTCTGCTGTCTGTCTCTGTCTTGACACAGTTACTTCTCTGCTCTGTCTGTCTCTGTCTTGACACAGTCACTTCTCTGCTCTGTCTGTCTCTGTCTTGACACAGTCACTTCTCTGCTCTGTCTGTCTCTGTCTTGACACAGTTACTTCTCTGCTCTGTCTGTCTCTGTCTTGACACAGTCACTTCTCTGCTCTGTCTGTCTCTGTCTTGACACAGTTACTTCTCTGCTCTGTCTGTCTCTGTCTTGACACAGTCACTTCTCTGCTCTGTCTGTCTCTGCCTTGACACAGTCACTTCTCTGTATTGTCTATCTCTGTCTTGGCACAGTTACTTCTCTGTATTGTCTGTCTCTGTCTTGGCACAGTTACGTTTCTGCTCTATCTGTCTCTTTCTTGACACAGTTAATTCTCTGTATTGTCTGTCCTGGCACAGTTACTTCTCTGCTCTATCTGTATCTGTCTTGGCACAGTTACTTCTCTGCTCTATCTGTATCTGTCTTGTCTGTCTTGGCACAAATACTGATCTCTTCTGTCTTTGTCTGTCTCTGTCTTGGCACAGTTATTTCTCTGCTCTGTCTGTCTCTGCTCTGTCTGTCTTGACACAGTTACTTCTCTGCTCTGTCTGTCTCTGTCTTGACACAGTTACTTGTCTGTCTCTGTCTGTCTCTCTGTCTTGGCACAGTTATTTCTCTGCTCTGTCTGTCTCTGTCTTGACACAGTTACTTCTCTGCTCTGTCTGTCTCAGTCTTGACACAATTACTGCTCTGCTCTGTCTGTCTTGACACAGTTACTTCTCTGCTCTGTCTGTCTCTGTCTTGACACAGTCACTTCTCTGCTCTGTCTGTCTCTGTCTTGACACAGTCACTTCTCTGCGCTGTCTGTCTCTGTCTTGACACAGTCACTTCTTTGCTCTGTCTGTCTCTGTCTTGACACAGTCACTTCTCTGCTCTGTCTGTCTCTGTCTTGACACAGTCACTTCTCTGCTCTGTCTGTCTCTGTCTTGACACAGTCACTTCTCTGCTCTGTCTATCTCTGTCTTGGTACAGTTACTTCTCTGTATTGTCTGTCTCTTTCTTGGCACAGTTACGTTTCTGCTCTATCTGTCTCTGTCTTGACACAGTTAATTCTCTGTATTGTCTGTCCTGGCACAGTTACTTCTCTGCTCTACCTGTATCTGTCTTGTCTGTCTTGGCACAAATACTGATCTGCTCTGTCTTTGTCTGTCTCTGTCTTGGCACAGTTATTTCTCTGCTCTGTCTGTCTCTGCTCTGTCTGTCTTGACACAGTCACTTCTCTGCTCTGTCTGTCTCTGTCTTGACACAGTTACTTCTCTGCTCTGTCTGTCTCTGTCTTGTCACAGTCACTTCTCTGTATTGTCTGTCTCTGTCTTGGCACAGTTACGTTTCTGCTCTATCTGTCTCTTTCTTGACACAGTTAATTCTCTGTATTGTCTTTCCTGGCACAGTTACTTCTCTGCTCTATCTGTATCTGTCTTGGCACAGTTACTTCTCTGCTCTATCTGTATCTGTCTTGTCTGTCTTGGCACACATACTGATCTGCTCTGTCTTTGTCTCTGTCTTGGCACAGTTATTTCTCTGCTCTGTCTGTCTCTACTCTGTCTGTCTTGACACAGTTACTTCTCTGCTCTGTCTGTCTCTGTCTTGACACAGTTACTTCTCTGCTCTGTCTGTCTCGACAAAGTTACTTCTCTGCTCTGTCTGTCTCTGTCTTGACACAGTTACTTATCTGCTCTGTCTTTATCTGTCTTGGCACGGTTCTTTCTCTGCTCTGTCTGGATCTGTTTTGGCACAGTTACTTCTCTGTTCTGTCTGTCTCTGTCTTGTCTGTCTTTGCACAGTTACTTTTCTGTTCTGTCTGTCTCTGTCTTGTATGTCTTGGCACAGTTAATTATCTGCTCTGTCTGTCTGTCTCTGTCTTGGCACAAATACTGCTCTGCTCTGTCTTTGTCTGTCTCTGTCTTGGCACAGTTATTTCTCTGCTCTGTCTGTCTCTGTCTTGTCTGTCTTAGCACAGTTACTGCTCTGCTCTGTCTGTCTCTGTCTTGTCACAGTTACCTATATGCTATTTATCTGTCTCAGTCCTGTGTGCCTCTTCTCAGTGACCTCTAAGTGCTTTCCTTATCGTGTCTGTCTCTCCAGGTGACAACTCTTCTCTTACTGTCTCTATCATGTATGTCTCAATACGGTCACCTCTATGTCTCTGTCCCGTCTGCCTGTGATTGGCTCCTTCTCTGCTCTCAGTCTCTGTCTTCGCAACCTCTGATACTGAATTCTCTGTTCTCCTTCTTTCTACATGCACTTAATTTTTCTACACAGTGATGTCTCTGCCCCCTGTACTCTTTCTGCTTTTCTTCAGTGTCGTCTCTGCTCCTCCTGTCTGTCCTATTTCCTCTCCTCTATTGCCTCCCTGTTCTTCCTCTGGGCTGTTCCTTTGTGACTCTACTCGATGGCCCCACTCATCTGTCACACCTTTCTTTCTATCTTCTTCCTGCTATCAGCATCAGTCATGCACCCATCACTCATGCCACGGCTTCCTTGTTGATGAGGAAACTGTCCAACATGTTCTAAGCTATCTCCAACTCCAAGTCACAAACAAGACTGTAAATGGAACAAAATCATTAGTCATTCTCAGTCTTTGTTCACTTTCTCTAATGTCATTACAGAACAAAGATATCAGAAGGATGCATGGGGATTTATGATGCTGGATTAAAAGTAATAATAAACATTTATTAGTTGATTAAATAGTTAGATATTCCATTTAATGATGTTTTGTTATATATACACTGTTAATGAGATGTGAAATATCATCTAGTCATAACCATGTATCATTGAAGACCCCAAACTATGTCTACCTACCCTTTCCCAACAGCTTAGTATTTCTTATGAGAATGTCAGCTCTGTATATCATTGCTGTGATCAAACTTACTGTTAATTATTGTGGTAACTTCTGTTTTTTCCCCCTTCGCCTTAGGAGAGGTGTTTTTAGGTTCTACACTCAACAAATTTACCCTAGAGGAGGCCAAAGATTACTGCAGGACGCTGGGTGCACAAATAGCAACAACAGGACAGCTGTACTCAGCATGGAGTGAGGGAGTGGACTTCTGCAGCCCTGGGTGGCTTTCTGATGGCAGTGTGCGTTACCCCATTGTGACACCAAGAGAAAGATGTGGGGGGAATTTACCCGGGGTAAAAACAATTTTTCAGTTCCGCAATCAAACTGGTTTTCCAGACTCCAGTTCCAAATATGACGTATACTGCTTCAGAGGTAAAGACTTCTAAAGTACTTACTGAGCTGCTTGAGAGGGTTGACAAATATATCGTCTATGTAACATAATTCCAGAGCTTTGTTTACATGCACATAATAGAACACGTAGATGTGGAGAGAGAGAGAGCTCTCATTAAGTACTCCGGATAGTAATATTGTGTGGCAAAAGCACAAGAAAGCCAAGCAGTTAGAGGAATTTTGGTGAATAATAAAAATGATTACCCCATCCATTAGATGGTTGGTTTTTAGTGGGTAAAGTATTCACAATAGATAGATATATGAGAACACTTCATACTTGTTCTGGTTGTGACTTTCTCTCCAAGTGAGGGGAATGGTATGTAGTCACTGCCCATTGCTTGCCATGTCTATCTAACCCGACAACTTTTCCTAATTTTTGTTTTGCACCCTTTGTGCCTACATAACTGGTGTTAAATGGAAAGTCTGTTTTTTTTAAATTCTTTATTTATTCCAAGACAGGGTAACAAAAATAAAGCGTACAAATCAAGATAACAGTGCGTACCATCATAACTTTGTTCAATCATGATTTCCATGTTCATTTACATATTGCCAGCAAAATTACAGGCAGTAACATTGTAACAATAGAGATCTTGAAAAGCTTTAGCGACCATGTATCGTGAAGTAGAGCATGGATTCATATAGTAGCGTATATCCCGTCTCGGATTTTTGTTTAAATAGAAAGGAAAGACGTTCCTATGCCACCATACACACAGTTGTCAGAGAACATTGAGATGTTATATGGTCCATAAGTACGTCCCGGTTAGAAATACCCCAGGGTAGTATTGTATCTGCAAGCGTTCACACGTGGTCTCTGCAGTTCGTTAGCGACCATAAGTCGTAGATTTGTAAGTCATAAAAGGGAGAGAGAAGATGAGAGTAAGAAGAGTGATAGAACAGGACGTCCCTCAAATAACAAAGAGGTTTGTGAGAGGTAAAAACAGTGTGGTGTTATATTTATTCATGCTTTGGGGCATTTCAGGTCTCTAGCATCTCCCAGGGGGATCCCCCAGGTCTCTAGACAGAAGATGACATGCATGAGGCTGTGGGTCGTTAACGAAAGTAAGATTGTCGGTGCGCTCGGGGGACCGAGCCCAGCTCGGCCCTCATTTAGTCGCTCGCTGCGCTAGCCAGCCAGGGGCCCCAAATCTTTTCTAACTTTCCGCTTGTCCCGCGGACCTGTGCTGTTAATTTGTCCATTAGGAATGTGTCTTTAATTTTTTTGTATCACCATAGAGATATTTGAAGTCTCTCTCTGTAGCCAAACCTGTGTTAGTGCTCTTCTGAAAGTCTGCTGTTCTATAAGCATTGGCTCCAGGTTATATTTTTTACTGGTAAATGTCATATTTAATGTTTATTTAAACCTTTCTTTAAGATTTTTTTTTTTTTTGGGCAAAAGTCAAAAGAGAATTTATCTGATGAGGTTGATCAGTGTCTAAAAACCTCTATCTCCTCCTCATTGGCTGGCAATGCAAAACCCAATCTGACCTCAGAAGTAAGATGTTAGTTTAAAGGGGCACACCACTGACCAAATAAAAAATATTCCACAATGAAAACATTTATTTAATTATGTGGAGGTATATTTAAAAACTGTTTGCAATAGCTGCAATTATCTTGTCTGCAGCCTTTGCAAGCCCTCCCCTTCTAACTCTGCCCAGACTTTCTGTGGCTGTCCAATCAAAGACATCCCAATGCAGCTCAATGAGAAGGCTTTGCAAGACATGTGCTCTGGGCAATTTCTGCCTCTTCAGTTTAATTCCACTGAGCTACACAAACCAGGAAGTAACAGGACCTGTTGTCTGACAGGTTAAACTTGGTTAAATTATAAAAGTAAAGATTTTTATCTAAATCTGCACTTTCTGCAAAATGAAAAAAGAAAACACACTTTTTCACACACAAAGCATTTAAGCAATCTAAGATGCTATAGGTGCTCTCTGGAGTGTTCCTTTAACCAGTTGATTGATTGGTGAGTGAAGAGTATACATTTGTGCAACACAAAAACAGTCCAGTGTAGTTTGAGTATTAATTGTAAAGCATAAATATGTATTTTCCCATTGTCCATAATACTTACACAATAAGGGCCAACAGATGTATATCTACTAAACAGATGTGTGCCATTCTGATGAGTAAAAACAGGGAGAGATTCCACTATCCGTGGCTGGTCATTTTGGTTCAGTTAATCCATAATCAATGCAAGTGATGTAAAAAAATAAAAACTATTATAATACTGTATGTCCTTTCTGAGGGAGATTACAAAAAAATAAACTAAATGGGTGTGGATTCTCACTCAGAGCTGCTACGTATTAAAAAAAAAAAAAAAAAAAAATTAAATCTTCCTTGGAACATGTAGATGTTACATTATGATGTATTTAAAATAAATAGGAACAATGTAATTATATATGCAGTATATAATTATATTGTAGTTGTCCATGAAAAAATATTTTCACTAATGTAAAATCTACCGTTGAGTTATTATTCCACTTTTGCTATGAGATCATCCTAATATATTAAAAAAATAATAAACCACATCTATATGAAATAATAAATTATTGGCATTGCTAGGTGAAGATTAAAACACATTCTTTCTTAAAAGAAAGGTCCTCAAATTATTTTTTTCCATTTTACTAACCATAAAAAAATATAAGGTGGACAGCTGAATCATGTACACATCAGGTTTTCATGAACATGAAATAAAATGAGTATTACTTTCCTTTGGAAAAATAATATTGCATTATATTGGTTGTAATATAAAGCTGTTTGAAATTAGAGCTTTCTAAGTTAGTTAATGTCTCGTTACCAAGCCCAACTCCTTCAAGAACCTATTTGGAGAAAATGTCTGACACGTTTTTATTATTTTTTTAGGATTGTAAATGAAAACTGCAAAGAATTGTTGCAGAAGATAATGACTCCCCGCTTACTTATTTTTTTTATTTTTTTTATTTTAATTTCCACTTAAAGATCAATTTTAAAGCTAGGTGCAATTCAACATGTAATGTGCCTCTGTCTTTTTTCTAGATAAAAATCTAATTCAAACTCATGATTCTTATTAAGGTCGCCATGCTCCGGTTGAAGGTGTAAGAGATGTGATTACTTTTACTGACAGCTTTGAGGAGCTGAAGATCTCGTCCGTCAAGGCTGAAAATGAAGCTCAGGGCTCTGTGGATACTCTGCCATATAAAAAGTATCCACTGGATGGAGAAACGGATGTGTTAAATGTATCAATTTCGATAGAACAAGACCCATCTCTTCACCCAACAGTGCCAACTGTAGAAAGTACTATTGGCCACAGGAATCTATCACTTGTCTTTGCTACCACTCCATCCTACGAAGAACATTCTGTAGCTTCTCAAAGTTCTATAGAAGAATCGGTGATAGTAAAAAATACCACTGAGCTAGGTAGGTTACAAATCTGAAAATTGGTTCTACATCTGATAAGATTACAGTAAAAGCAATTTCATCCCAAATCTATCTTTTAATGATCCATATGGTATCAGGTCGAATAAATATTATTGGTCATGGGCCTTTATGTCATATAGTTGCAAAGCCTAGACTTGGGGATTTGTTTTGCATCTAATTGAAATTCGGCTAAATGTAAGCCGATTAGGGGTTTGGCTGAATTCCAAGTTAAAATATACTTTTAGTTCAGATACTCAACCACGCTGGCACATTTTCACAGCATTTTGAATTGTTCTCCTGATTTGGTTCCCAAATCAAAAACTTGCCCAAAACAAACTGACATCCAGCCACATTTCGGGTGTCCCGAAAAGTCTTTTCTCTTCGGAAAAAATTATTCGGCAGATCCAAAATTTCTCACCATGCACAAGTCTAGCAAGTAATTTTTGTACCACAATTGTACTCAGATTTGTGTTCTTATATAGACTATCTTCTAAATGATATCTGCTTTTTATTACTGAAACTGTAAATTAACATAGATTATATAAAATTCCACAGTAGATGCTTACTAGTCTACCCACTTCAAACAGTAGTACCATTCCATTATAATATATGTTGTATTATTTGTGTATTTTGACAGAACATGAACTTGAGTCTTTCCCAGTTCCAGAAAACAAATCTGTTTCTTCACTAAATGAAATGACTGGAAGGACTTTGGAGGAAAATGTTGAATTTCCAACACCATTACCATCAGGTGACTCCACCTTAGATTTAGGTTTTGTGAATTTAGAAGTAGAAAATGATTATCCTGATGACAACATATCTGCCCTGATAGAGGAAATGGGCTTTGCTGAGTCTCAGTCAGCAAGTCCTTTCCCAGGTGGCCAGGTTTCCGAAGAAGTGAACTCTACACAGTCCTCAGAGAAAATCAACGTAGATGACCACAAAATATTTAGCACGGTGAATGAACACATAATTTCAACATTCAATGAAAGTCAACTTACAAGTACTTCTGTAAATACCACGATTGTCCCTACAATTGGCACTGTTTTAGAAGGTCATGTAGATCATAGGGAAACAGATGAGCAGGTACATTCCAGCGGGCAAATATATAATATCAACTTATACACGTTTCCTTATAATAGTTCAGAAATACATACAACAGAAATTATTTCAACAAATAACACTACTCCTGGAGCTAATGATGTTGAAGGATCTGGGCAAGAAGACCAGAGTATCTTGGAAAGAGAATTGAAGAGTCCCAAGCCAACAGAAGGTCCAGCCGATGACTCAGTTTCTGGTGATGTATCAGGATTGACAAGTACCTATTTCCACACCTTGGGTGGTTCTTCCAATCCCTTTACAGATGCACAAATATCAGAAGTGCATTTAATGTCTACAACAACTGTGCCTTTTTCAGCTATTCTCAAAAGCCATAACCGTATAAAATCCACTTTGGAAGAAGGGAGTGGGGACATTTCTGAATCCATTTTGGTTAGGTCAACTGGAAAAACATTTAGTGAAATTAATACTATCCAAGACACCCATTCAACCACACGGCAACCTCCAATAGATCCAACAAGCTCTGCAGAGATGACACAACCTTCAAATATATTTGTGCATTCTACTGCATTTAATAATTTAAATCAATATGTCAATCGAGAAACGGCAACTGTACAAGTCTCCCATCTCTTGAGTCCAGATTTGTCTTCTGCTGTACAAACAGTTGAAGACTCTAGAGTAGAACAACCGTACACAAATGGAAAAGATGTCTTTACAACAGCAGTGATGGGCATATTAGAGGATGTTGGAGATCCAAAAACACCTGAAGATATTTCTAGGTCTTCATTCCACAGCCCACCATTCAGTTACACACCCTCTCCACTACCCGTCAGCAATTCAGATGCTTCTACAAGTCATCACCTTGAGAAATCTTCCCAACCAAATGAATCATTGAATACAACTAATCCTCTACCCGCCGTGCCAACAGAAAGAGCCATTTATGGAGCTTCAGTTAATCTGTCAGGTAATCTTCATGTCTGCCTCACCGTTCTACTTTTATTGGTCATCTATCTTATTGCCTTGTGCTGAAAATTTCTTCTCCTCCCTCTGCGTTTTCCACTTTCACTATCTCATGTAGCATCAGAAAGGGAGGAAATTTTAGGATCATGACTAGTAAATCAATCATTCTGGTCATACAAGAGCGTGCATCCTTTTTTTACTTCTATGAAGTATTTTTATGACTGTTTCCGTGAAAAAAACAAAAATAAATAAACGGAATGAAATTACTTTTTCTTTTTAGAATTAAAGCACTTGTTTAATGTCTGCCTAAAATCTTTTTTTCCCTCTTCTTCTTTTGTGTGTTCTATTTTTTTGTGTCTTTCTGATTCTTCTGCTAACTTTACTAAGTTACTTCTGCTTAGCTTACATTAATTGGGTTTTAGAAAGATACGTAAATTTTAACATTTTAAGTGTGATTTCAATTTTATACAGTTATGTGTTATCCTACCCAAAGGGGTAAACAGGGCACAACATTAATAGCATTGTTTCTAAAATGTTTTTGGGTGAAGATATGTGGGTATACCTCAAAACCTTTTATCTTTAGTGGGCTACATTGGTAACTAACTTTTCTGAGTTTTTTTTTTATCTTCTCTATGCCTTTACAATGCACCACCACTAATATTGGCACCCTTGGTAAGTGTGAGCGAAGAAGGCTGTGCAACTTTGTTTTTGTATGAGCTCTTGATCTTTTGTTCAAAAGATGTATAAAAATACTATGCTATTCTCCGACCTCATCAGGCATGAGAGGAGAAGACTCAGAGCTATTATCTTGGCGAAGGGAGGTAGCACAGAGTGTTGATTAAAAGGGTGACAATAATTGTGCCACACATCATTGGCGGACCGCCTGGCACCCCGACTGGGTGCCTCTACCGTTCGATCCTTCCTAGTGCTCACAGAGTAATTCCAAGCACTCCACCAGACAATATAACCACTGTAATCCCCACAGCCAGCGTTACAGCTTGGTTGGGGTCTCACTGTCTTCCACCCACTCTGGACCCAATAGCAGGATCCAGCTTCCAGTGGTTAGACCTCTCCTACTCCAGAGAGTATAGCAGGATAGCTCTTACAAGAGCTAGTGATTATAATCCAAGGGAGTATAAGGAGTATAGCAATCCCCAGAGTGAATATAGCTATCCCCTCCACACGAGACGAGGCTCTATGTTGAGGGTGAAGAGGAACTGTTTAATGGCAGCCTCAACTGGCCTCATATGCAGGTCCCCATGCAAGGGGTTTTACATAGCATATTCCAGGGGCATTCCCCACTGGACCTAAAAGGGGACTATGACAAGGTACTCACTTTAATTATATTGGCTCTCAGGTCCAGGACACTCCCACACAAAACAGGGTAATCCCTCCAGTGTGCTTGAGCACAGACACCTGCGACCGGGTATCCCCAGCCATGTTTTGCAGCCCCGGCCTGCATGGCAAACTGCCAGGGCCGCACATGATGGGGCCTAGCAGGTGGCTGTTAGGGCCACCCGATGGGTATGGATTTCCAGGGGGCCAGGTCAGCGATGACATCAGACAGAGCTGGGAGGAAGTGACTGCCCTGGTCACTCCTCCCAGCTATCAGTAAGCCGCGTGGGAGGAAGAAGGAGGGAGTCAGAGTTCCCATCAGGCTGAGACCCCACTGGACCCCAGGGAAAGTCACCCTCCTGCAAAAGGTAGGAAACAGCAGGGTGACTTAAATATTTTGTATATGTGTGTGTTTGTATGTATGTGTATGTGTATCTCTGTATGTATGTGTCTGTATCAAACATACAGAGTCATACATACAGTCACATACAGAGAGGCACACACAGACATACAGACACACACACACACACATACAGACTGTGTGTGTATGTATGTGTGTGTGTGTGTGTGTGTGTGTATATGTGTGTGTGTCTGGGGGTGGGGCCCACGGATCAGTTTTGCACCGGGGCCCCATGGATTGTGTGTACGCCACTGTGCCTGAGAGATAATTGAGTCAGGAACTGTACTAAACTCCATTATCTCCAGGCACAGAAAACATACATTTTAACAACATCCTAAAAAAGTACCCCCAAAACACATGGAAACCCCACAACAGTCACATCCCCTGATAGCCCCAATCTGGCGGACCAACATATCTAAACATCACCCAGCTCGGTTCAGGATTTCCATGGAAGTGATCATTTTGACAAACTGTACACATGGTCCTACGCCCAAAACAGTTCCAGGGAATCAGGGCTAATGGTCTGTATCTCTTTCTGGAGTACAAAAGTACATCATTCACATGGACTGAGCCTTTTAAAGTGCATTGGACATGGTATATTGCAGGGCCCATAGTCCTGAGGCATGAGGCTGGCAAGCAGGCTCCTCCAGGAGCCCGTGGCGAGGTTCTGTTCGCCACAACATCTATTTAACAAAGATTTATTTGGAGGACGAGGCTGTGTTGTGTTTGCAATTGTTTGATATCCATGAGAGCAATTTATTTTTGTGTATTTTATGAACAAAAGATCAAAAAGATGAATAATAACGACAGATTTTCCCAGCCTTATTTGCTCAGATTTACCAAGGATGCCAATATTCGTGAAGGGCACTGTATCTAGAATGATAGCAAAGCCATTACACTAGAATTCACACAGGAATTGCCTAGCTGTGACGGTTTCACAAATCAATAAGGTGGTGTCATATTATCGCACCAAATGTCATGTTACCGAGTGAAAAAAATCTGTTTATATGGAAACACAAAATATGCCAATCTTTATCTTTCTTTTTTTTTTTTAATTAGCACCACCACTTTTTGTTACTCTGTTTCACTAGAAACATGTCTAAAACATTTATAGACAGAAAAAAAAAAATCTTGTAAAATATTCTCATGGCACTTTTAAAAAGTCACATACTGTATTTCTGTCAATAATGTAAATTAATAATCCCAACAAGTACTGTTTTAGCTAACCACAAAATGTCTGACTGTAGTTACCACTCCAGTGCAGGAGGCCATCTTAGAATTGCATCCTGTTTGACAGACTGTCAGTGACCGTGTCAATGTTATAGATACCAACATAACATTGGGAATCGAACACGTGGAGTTAGCAGCCAATCAGAATCTGTGATTTGTCATATAGTTCCCACCCTTCCACTTGTAAAATCTGACTCAAAAAGATCTACATATCATACAGCTCTGAATTTGTCTACTTCTTATTACAGAGCCACTATGAGATTGAGTAGGTTAGTTTTAGTTAGTTAGTATTGAATTCCCACCTGTTGACAGAGTACATGGGGCCAGTGTTCTTTAAACACTAGGGAGCCATTTATAGATAAATAAATATCTAATCTCCCAGAAAAGAATATTGTTCATTCTGCTGGTCTGTAAAAGCCGGGGCAGCACCCAGGGAAAAACTTTGCACCATCTGTTTAGTTTTAGTTCAAAAGTACAAAGTCAAATTCAGATGCTATCCGTATAGTACATATATTTAGTCTATAACCACACACTAGTCTGTAGTACAGACGTGAGTCTGATTGAAGTTTCAGTGTCCTGTATTTTTGAGCAAATCCGTAGCTTGCCTCTGTACCTTGTGTTGTAGATGTCTGCTTTCCAAATCCATGTGAAAATGGAGGAACCTGCGTTGACGGAGAAGATGATGACTTCACCTGCCTGTGTTTGCCAGGTTATAATGGAAAAATCTGTGACATAAGTGAGTGAACAGGGAGGTGGTAGAATATGTTCTGTAATCGGGTATCATGATGAATGCAACTAGGTAATCAGGACCATGCGTGAGCCAAGACAGAGCCAGGTCATGTAATCCAGGGGTTAACTAGAGCACAACCAAGTCATGTAATCCAAGGGTGAGCTAGAACACAGCCAGATCAAGTAATCCAGAGGTGAGCTAGACAGAATCAAGTCATGTAATCCAGGGGAGAGCTAGAGCATAGCCAAGTCATGTAATCCAGGGGAGAGTTAGAACACAGCCAAGCCATGTAATCCAGGGGAGAGCTATAGCAGAGCCAAGTCATGAAATCCAGGGGTGAGTTAGAGCACAATCAGGTCCTATGGCCCAGGGGTGAGCTAGAGCACAACCAAGTCATATAATCCAGGGGTGAGCTAGAGCACAGCCAAGTCATGCAATCCAGGGGTGAGCTAGAGCACAGCCAAGTCATGCAATCCAGGGGTGAGTTAGGGCACAACCAGGTGCTATGGCCCAGGGGTGAGCCAGAGCACAACCAAGTCATATAATCCAGGGGTGAGCTTGAGCACAGCCAAGCCATGCAATCCAAGGGTGAGATAGAGCACAACACAGTCATGTAATCCAGGGGACAGCTAGAGCATAGCGAAGTCATGTAATACAGGGGAGAGCTAGAACCCAGCCAAGCCATGTAATCCAGGGGTGAGCTAGAACACAACCAAGCCATATAATCCAGGGGTGAGCTAGAGCATAGCCAAATTATGTAATCCAAGGGTGAGCTAGAGCACAACCAAGTCATGTAATTCACGGGTGAGCTAGAGCATAGCCAAATCATGTAATCCAAAGGTGAGCTAGCACACAGCCAAGCCGTGTAATCCAAGGGTGAGCTAGAGCACACCCAAACATGCAATCCAGGGGTGAGCTAGAGCACAGCCAAGCCATGTAATCCAGGGGAGAGCTAGAACATAGCCAAATCATATAATCCAGGGGAGAGCTAGAGCACAGCCAAATCATGCAATCCAGGGGTGTGTTAGAGCACAATCAGGTCCTATGGCCCAGGGGTGAGCTAGAGCACAACCAAGTCATATAATACAGGGGTGAGCTAGAGCACAGCCAAGCCATGCAATCCAAGGGTGAGCTAGAGCACAACACAGTCATGTAATCCAGGGGACAGCTAGAGCATAGCCAAGTCATGTAATACAGGGGAGAGCTAGAACCCAGCCAAGCCATGTAATCCAGGGGTGAGTTACAACACAACCAAGCCATGTAATCCAGGGGTGAGCTAGAGCATAGCCAAATTATGTAATCCAAGCGTGAGCTAGAGCACAACCAAGTCATGTAATCCAGGGGTGAGCTAGAGCATGGCCAAATCATGTAATCCAAGGGTGAGCTAGAGCACACCCAAACCATGCAATCCAGGGGTGAGCTAGAGCACAGCCAAGCCATGTAATCCAGGGGAGAGCTAGAGCATAGCCAAGTCATATAATCCAGGGGAGACCTAGAGCACAGCCAAGTCATGCAATCCAGGATGAGTTAGAACACAATCAGGTCCTATGGCCCAGGGGTGAGCTAGAGCACAACCAAGTCATGTGATCCAGGAGAGAGCTAGAACCCAGCCAAGCCATGTAATCCAGGGGTGAGTTACAACACAACCAATCCATGTAATCCAGGGGTGAGCTAGAGCATAGCCAAATAATGTAATCCAGGGGTGAGCTAGAGTATAGCCAAATCATGTAATCCAAAGGTGAGCTAGAGCATAGCCAAGCCATGTAATCCAGGGAAGAGCTAGAACACAACCAAGTCCATGTAATCCAGGGGAGAGCTAGAGCATAGCCAAATAATATAATCCAGGGGAGAGCTAGAGCACAGCCAAGTCATGCAATCCAGGGGTGAGTTAGAGCACAGCCAAGCCATGTAATCCAAGGGTGAGCTAGAGCACAACCAAGTCATGCAATCCAGGGGTGAGTTAGAGCACAGCCGAGCCATGTAATCCAAGGGTGAGCTAGAGCACAACCAAGTCATGCAATCCAAGGGTAAACTAGAGCACAACACAGTCATGTAATCCAGGGGACAGCTAGAGCATAGCCAAGTCATGTAATCCAGGGGAGAGCTAGAACCCAGCCAAACCATGTAATCCAGGGGTGAGCTAGAACCCAACCGAGCCATGTAATCCAGGGGTGAGCTAGAACCCAATCAAGCCATGTAATCCAGGGGTGAGCTAGAACCCAACCAAGCCATGTAATCCAGGGGTGAGCTAGAACACAACCAAATCATGTAATCCAAGGGTGAGCTAGAGCACAGCCAAGTCATGTGCCCCAGAGGTAAACTAGAACACAGGTCATATGACCTATGGGAAAGCTAGAACACAGCCAGATCAAGTAATCCAGAGGTGAACTAGACAGAATCAAGTCATGTAATCCAGGGGAGAGCTAGAGCATAGCCAAATCATGTAATCCAGGGGAGAGTTAGAACACAGCCAAGCCATGTAATCCAGGGGAGAGCTAGAGCATAGCCAAGTCATGTAATCCAGGGGAGAGTTAGAACACAGCCAAGCAATGTAATCCAGGGGAGAGCTATAGCAGAGCCAAGTCATGAAATCCAGGGGTGAGTTAGAGCACAATCAGGTCCTATGGCCCAGGGGTGAGCTAGAGCAGTGTTTCCCAACCCAGTCCTCAAGGCACACCTACCAGTCCAGGATTTAGGGATGACCCAGTTGTGTCTAAGTTGTTTTTTTTCTTCTTTGTAAAAACACCTTAGACACAACTGGGTAATCCCTAAATCCTGGACTGGTAGGTGTGCCTTGAGGACCGGGTTGGGAAACACTGAGCTAGAGCACAACCAAGTCATATAATCCAGGGGTGAGCTAGAACACAACCAAATCATGTAATCCAAGGGTGAGCTAGAGCACAGCCAAGTCATGTGCCCCAGAGGTAAACTAGAACACAGGTCATATGACCTATGGGAAAGCTGGAATATCGGCAAGTCATGTGACCCAGGTATTAGCTAGAAATCCACCAACTCACTTCTCTCAAGGGTGAAATAGCTAAGTCATGTGTCCTGGGATGACATAAAATTACATCATGTGACGCATAATTCAATTTGAACAGAAGCATGTAAGTCATCTGAGAAACTAAAAACGACAAAATAAAACTGTTCTCAAGGCAGGAGATAAGGAGTTATAAAGAAGTCCATGTGGCACATGAATATTTTATAGCAAGACAAGGTTCACTAAATAAGAGAAAACCAGAAGTAGAAGTGTACCCTTTTGCTAATAGCACCAAATTAGGTAAAAAAATGGTCTACTGTACCCGATCTTGAAGGAAATGAGGCGTAACCTGTCTAGACCGTTCTGGAAGACTCCTGCAGTGGCCATCTCTCTTTGTGATTAAAATAAAATCTGCTGATAACATTATGTATAAACAGGGAGATCACTGATGCCCCAGCACTTTACAAGGAACATTTTCAGAAACAAAAAGATTACATTTATTCACACTATTAATGATCTTCAAACTAACCGTGCAATTACGCACAATATGATTCCTCTTCATAACCTGATATGCCTCTGGCAGAGGATCTGAGCGTTAAACATCCCAGGACAGATTGGGCAGCAGTGGCCAGCAATAGCCAAAGTCATAAAAATCTGCGTTTCTGCTCATCCACGCCTTTAATAGACACAGAGCTAAGACGAATACATGCAAATTATTTGAGTATTAAAACAAGACTAGGTTCATGCATAAATCGCAAAGATAAAGAGAAATGCTCCATTTTTATAACTTCTCTTTTCCTATACTGTTAAAGACAAACTGGTACTCCCATGATTTGAAATATTATGTTTACAAATCTCTAAAATTAACAAAAATATATTGGAGTGGTGTGAAAAATAAAATTAAATATTGAAATTCATACCTCTTTATCCTGTGGCTGGGTGCTTCCATCTTTGCTCCCGGTCAGTCATTGTTATCAGCTCTGTCCTGGGCACCTGGCAGTCAGCACAGACGAAACATACAGAGACGAGGAGAACATTAAACAATGTTCCTGTTTCTCCTCTCTAGTCATAATGTTTGTTTGCCTAGTCTGAACTGGATTATGATGTAATTTGCCAAATCTTTGATTGAAAGAAAAGAGAATCTTATGAAAAAAGTTTGAAGTAGTTTGATTTTCAATATTTTTGTCAATGGCATAATTTACACCTATAACTTGTTCTAAGAAGTGACTGTTCCTCTTTAAAGACATGGCAGTCCCATCCCAGCAGACATATTTTCCTGCTCCCTGTTGTACAATCCCGGTCTGGTGATTACATGCTATTTTCTTTTACTGAAGTCTACGGGGGTCACCTACCCTTCATACTCTACCCTTCACTCTTCTCTTCATATCAGGGCAGGAAGTGCCTTGAAAACAAGTTCAAAGGAAATCACTTCCCCTAGAAATTTTAAACAGACATGTCCTAATATTGTGATTATAAAAGAGTGCAGATGTTGCCACTACCCTTCACAATGTCACTGTTTCCAACTAGATACAGAGAAATGTTTAGACGACTGGGACACATTCCAGGGATTTTGCTATAAACACTTCCATGCCAGAAGAAGCTGGGAAGAGGCTGAGACTCACTGCAGGGACTATGGGGGTCACCTGGTCAGCCTCATGACCCCCGAGGAACAAGACTTTGTTAACAGTAAGTTATTCTGAGTTCTGATGTACATACGTATCATGTCAGTAGAGCTCTAAACCTTCAAAAACTCTACAAGAAAGTTCCGAAATATGGGATATATCTTCTGTTTAAAATAATATAATAATAATAATAAAACAAAATAATGACCTCGCTTTGTGAGATACAGAGTCACACAGATACGCACACTGGCACATGCACACACAGTTAGATATACACACAGTGACACAAACACCTTGACACAAAGATATACACACTGGCACATACACACACACTCTGATACACATTAACACTCAGATACACGCACTGGCACATATACACCCAAATACACACAATGGTATATACACAGAAACTGACATACAGATACACACACTGTCACATACACACACTGATACACACTGACACGTATACACCCAAATACACACAATGATATACACACACACACACACTGGCACAGATTTACACAAACTGACACACCGATACACATACACACACAGATACACACACACATAAACACACTGACACACAGCTACACACTGGCACATATACACCCAAATATACACAATGGTATATACACACAAACTGACACACAGATACACACACTGTCACATACACACACACACTGATACACATTGACACACAGATACACACACTGACACGAATACACCCAAATACACACAATGATATATACACACACACACACTGGCACAGATTTACACAAACTGACACACAGATACACACACTGTCACATACACACACAGATACACACACACACATAGATAAACAGAATGACATAAACACACTGACACACAGATACACACTGGCACATACACAAAAATGCACACACTGACAGTTCATGATTTTTATATTTGCAGCCACCCTCTGTTAGCATGCCTTTTGTATTCAGGAGGGTGGTTTGCTTGGAGTGATGCTGGCAGGGGCTGGGGTGTGAGATCGACAGCAGCTCACTTCCCCCTGCTGCCTCTTTCCCTCTAGTGTGGTGCTCTCTATGTATGTAAGGAAGGGACTCCCAGCATCTGATACTACAGAGATACCCATCAGGTGGTCCTAAGTGCATGAGCCACCTAGTGGGTAAATACAGGCGGATCCCCAGTTTTGTTCTGGGTTCCGCAGAACACAAACTGGGAAACGTTGGCCTACACCATGTTCTGACCCAAGATTCACTTGTGAAAGATCTAGAACCTTTTAATCATCCTCCAGGCAATTGACAAACGGTGTCCTAAAAATAATGACAGCTAGTGCGCAGGGTACCTATATGTACAACATCAGAGTGGTATTTTTGTAGTTGTTAATACTAACGGCTATTAGCATCAGTGTTAACTATGTCAATTTATTTTCAAACACTTACAATACAAGGCAATGCAGAGGGGACTTCAGAGTCCTAAGCATTCATATCTAGAGGGTCCCAAGTTTATCACCAATATACACATTTAATATAACAAAGACTAGGAAGGCAGAAGATACATTCAGGTATTTGCTTGTTGAAATAATTTCATTGCTGTAGAAATGATCATATCAAATTTTGTGTCAACCAGCAGAAGTCTCCAAAAAGTCATCCAATGACTGACATCCCTAAGTGGTGGTTTTATCAAAGCAATTAATACAACTTTAATGCCTCGTTAATATACTATATATTTCCACATGCTCAAATCTTTATAGTGTTTGCATAATAAAATGTTTTGCAGAATGCCTGCCTCCTTAACCACGACCCCTCACTCCAGATAAAGACTTCCTTATCAAATGTATGTACAAAGTTTCAGCCCACAACAGCACCGAGTAAGCTGTGTACATACGTTTGATGAGGAATCCTTTTTTAGGAGTGAGGGGGCGTGGCTAAAGAGGCAGGCTTATGGTGCAACATTCTGCCAAACATTTAATTTTTTTATGCAAAAACGATTAAGATTTGAGCATGCAAAAAAATACAGCATATTAGTGAGGCCAAAATCTATTAAATGCATTGCAGTTGTATTGGTGCCCAGAGTGTCCCTTTAACACACATTTTCAAAATTGAAACGCATTCAAACAGAGCCAAATGGATTTATAGGAAGCTGACCTGGTTCCGTTTACTGAAATATGGATTTAATGTTCTGTGATCTACATATTCTGACAAATTTACACGTCACTGATTTGATCAAGCTTATTATACCTACTGGAATTATTTCCTAATGTGCTTTTTTGGGCTTGGGACTGACCAAATTTAAGCTGACAAATGTAGGGCTGCCTTCACAGTAGCCAAATGCAGCAGAGTTTCCCTGCAGCCAATCTATCCGCACTGCAGAACGTGCCCGTTCTGCCAAGGAAATTATTAACTCTCTGTGATGTGGACCTTCCTAATCTTTATAAGATTATGCTTAGAATGCACCAGCAGTGGAGCGTTGTACCTCGTGAAGATCCCAGTATCAAATATACATACACTGTGCCTGTGTAATAGTCTGGTACAGAAGTAGCAATATTTATGACTTCTTTGTCATCAATGCGGGCTGCAATGTGGGCACATGTTGGGTGCAGGTAAAAAGTTATAATTCAGTCCTAGTATTTCAATATGTTTATCACACTCATGTGTAGGTAATTGATCTTCTGGCATGCTAGATGGGGACATCACATGATACGATTTTGGGTGGTGCTCTTGAGATCCTCATTTGGTGTTGGAAGACCATAAAAACATTGACTTGACAAAGTCAAAGTGAATTTCAAATTTAAGGCTAAAGTCATTGTTCTTGAAGAACTAGCTAGAACTCAACTATATTTCTGATTTGGCTACTTTGAGCCTAAATTTGAAATCCACTTTTAATTAATTTTGACTTCCTCCCCAAAATTATCACTTTATTAAATATCCGTGACGGTTTAGTTTTTGAACTGTTGATGATTATGATGTTGTACACTAGTTAGGACGTAATTTAAGGCAGATTGAAAATCCATAGTTTAAATGGATGCAAGTGTTTGTGGGATCTGTTAATGTTTTCAGAAGATAGAATTTTCTCAAAAATGATGGGGTTATGGGAGCAAGTGTTTTGGACTTTAGGGAAGGCTTCAAAAAACATTTAAATGTTACAGGTAGAATGTGGGAGCGGGGATGCAATCAAAATATATTTACTAAATACACTGGATTGGTTTACTGATATATTTTTGTATTTATTATCTATTGATATGTTAATAAATGCACACACAAACTATAGATAGAATAAATACAGAGACCACTGGGGATCACTTTGTAAATCCACTCTTGTTTTCAAATGATGGTTATTTGGTTGTATTACAGAGTTTGGAATTCAAAGTACAGCTGTTTGACTGCCGCTTTTTAATTTCAAAACGATGTTCAAGTCTGCTGGGTTTAATGCTGTCCTACGAGCTTGCTTGCTAAGCACGTGTGTGTTGCCCCTTCTTTCCAAAGCCTCGTTATAATTTAACGGTCTTTATTGGTGGAAAGTTCTACTGATGGGGAATCATTTTTCCAAATTTATTTAAATTAGTTAATTCATTTTTTTTCCACTAGATGGCCACAAAGTAGCACTTGGAATAACAAACACAAACTCGCTATATTTGAAGAGTACATTACTGTCGTTTTAGTACATGGGGGGGGGGTCCTATAAATTTATGATTCCCATTTTGTTTTGCATGAACATGTCAGATCAGTTGGTGTCTCAGTGATCCTGACAGTCGCCCATTCTAATGGAGGAAAGGTGGTTTGTAAAAGCTAGCACTTCAGATGAGAGAATTTCTAAAAAACCTGCCATGTAGATCTCCCATGACTTTATTTTCTCTGTCTCTGCAGACCAGTACAGAGAATACCAATGGATGGGTCTGAACGACAGGACAATTGAAGGTGATTTTCAGTGGTCCGACGGAAACCCTTTGGTGAGATCTTCAACATTATAGAAAAATGACCAACTATTAAATCAATATAGTATAAATCAATTAAAATTATTTAACCATCTTTCTCATAGATATAGTACATGGTAATTTACTCCAGACATGTATGACGGTAAACATAAGCGTTATTTTCTAAGCTCCTCCTCTAAGCTGCCGGATTTTGGCATAAAATATCATCAGTGTGTATATTAAGGGACACTATATGCACTATAACCATTTCATCTAATTGAATTGGTTATAGTGCCTAGAATCCCCTGGCTTTATGCCTCCCTTCAGTGTTAAAACATTTTTGAGCAGTTTTAACACTGAATTAGGGTCCTTGGCTTTTCATAGCTTGGCCACAACTGTAGGTATGGCTAAGACGGAGATTACACACTTCCTTCTATCCATACTGATTCATACCAGCATACGACGCTGTGATAGGCTGAAAGGGGTCAGCTGACACTTAGCCAATCGCCCATTGCTGCTTGGGCTAATCCTTCCTCAGTAGCCCTAGCAGTACAGAGAGGATGGACTGCTGGGACTCTCATTTAGCATTAAACATGGTTAAATGCTGACTGGAAGAACGGCGCCAGTGGACTCCTAACACTATAACCACTTCGGTAAGATGAAGCAGAGTTACCATAGTTTCCTTGTAATAATTTCATTGTATCTCTGCTCTTTCTGGGTTTTTTTTTTTTTTCTGTCTTGTTGGGATTAGCTCTATGAAAACTGGAACCATAAACAGCCTGACAGCTACTTCCTCTCCGGTGAGAACTGCGTGGTCATGGTGTGGCATGACAGTGGGCACTGGAGCGACGTACCCTGCAACTACCACCTCCCATACACCTGCAAAATGGGGCTCGGTAAGAAATCCATCATATTTGTGCAGTGCAGTCCCCGGCCAGTTATATATAAGCTGTACGTCATGTTCTGTGGCTATAGTACCCGTTTCGTATTGGAATTGGTATGTAGGATTGGCCTGTAATTCTGTTGTAACTCACTTGCAGATTAACTGGATTGTATAAAAAAAAAAATAGCTTAAAGGGAAATTGTCACTTCACAGGATTTGTTATATTCTATTTATTTATGTACTATTTTTTTTTTAAATCAAATATATAATTGTGAAAAATTTTAAATTAAATGCAGAAATCCTCATCTTTCTATATTGTAACTGGGTTCCTCCATCTTGGCTCCCTGACAGTCATTTTTATAAGTTATGTCCTTTGCTCCTGGCAGTCAGCATAGAGACAGAGAGGCAGAGAAATGTAACAATGATTCTGTTTCTTGTCTTTATTTGCATTGTGTGCCCTGGCTGTGCCTTGTCTGAACTGGAGTAAAATGTCATGTGCTAAGTATTTAATATATATTTAAAAGAAAATGGAGTATCTCATCAAAAGAAAAAGATTAACACATGTAATAGGTGATTTTCAATGTTTTATTCCATGGTGCAAATTCCAGAGAAGTGATGGCTCCCCTTTAATAAAACCATTCAGAACATGCACGCTTCGAGACCGCATTTTACTCTACTTGGTACAGCTAGGGTTTGGGGGTACGGTACTATTCCGCTTTTAACATTCTACAGATAACTTTATATTTCTTGTTTAGTATCATGTGGTCCCCCTCCAGAAGTGGGCAATGCCTCAACTTATGGAAGGCCAAAAACGCGATACCAGATCGGCTCCATCGTGGGATATGGTTGTGAAGATGGTTTTCTACAGCGTGATTCACCCATCATCAAATGCAAACCAGATGGCTCGTGGGAAACACCACAAATAAACTGTATTCCTGGTGAGTGAAATCAAGAGTCACGCGTGGGGGAAAGATCACAGTTTAAAGTTTCAAAAGAGCACAGGAAGGTTGTTGTTGAGTTTGGTATCCAATTAAAAAGCAATTAAAATGAGATGGAAAAATGTTTCACTTTCATAACTCTCCCCTTTTGTTCCCAGCACCTAACTACTACAGTGAGCTTTAGTGGTTATGGTGTTCGAAGTTTGAATATACAATAATAGTGGGTGCTTTGCTTTAGCACAGCCTTGTAGGTAAATTCTAGTAGCATTTTACACAGTACACCAACATCTCTACCATAATATGGACCTGGCAGGGACAGTCCAAGTTATATTTTGGTGCTAGTGAAACATGGTTCCTATGGCAAACCCATCTTATTATATGGTAGCTACATATCCAAAATGACTTCTGATGAGGTGTACTGAGTAATCTGAGCTTGACCAGAATAACTTTGATTTTGCCAGTTGAAGGAACACTCCATAACCACTGCATTGTGCTGTATTGGTTTTGGTGACAGAAGTGACCAGGAGGGGTAAATTTGCCCATTGTTTGGCACTTTGCAGACCCATAGTAAGTTGTCAGTCACAGCTTCCATTAGAGCCAGAAGCCCCTGCAGAGAGTTTCTATTATTTCCCTTGAGCTTAGCCCTATAGTGCACAGCTAGCTTTTTGGCTGAGAGCATCCAACGGGCTGGCTTTTTGGCTGAGAGCATCCAACGGGCTGGCTTTTTGGCTGAGAGCATCCAACGGGCTGGCTTTTTGGCTGAGAGCATCCAACGGGCTGGCTTATTGGCTGAGAGCATCCAACGGGCTGGCTTTTTGGCTGAGAGCATCCAACGGGCTGGCTTTTTGGCTGAGAGCATCCAACGGGCTGGCTTTTTGGCTGAGAGCATCCAACGGGCTGGCTTTTTGGCTGAGAGCATCTTTTTGGCGAGAGCATCCAACGGGCCGGCTTATTGGCTGAGAGCATTAATTGAGTTGGCTTATTGGTTGAGACCATCAAACGGGCTGGCTTATTGGCTGAGACCATCAAACGGGCTGGCTTATTGGCTGAGACCATCAAACAGGCTGGCCTATTGGTTGAGCGCATTAATTGAGTTTGCTTATTGGCTGAGAGAATCCATCTGGCTTAATATAGAGATATTCTAGAAGCAGGAAGAGATGACCGGTGCCCAGTGGACCCCAGGTAAGTTGTCAAACCATTTCAGAAGGTTTGAGTACTTACGTTGGGATGGTGCCATGGCAGTCTTGGGACTAAACCACTGTGGGTCACTTTAGTGATTATAGTGCTTGAAATCTCCCAGAGGAATTAAAAGAAGGCTCCAATGCCTGTGCATTTACCAGTTTCAGCAGGTTTGTGACACATCGGCTGAACTTCTGTATACAACAAAAATGTGTGAACTACCTATTGTGGAACTTAAAGGATCACACCAGCTTGCAGAAGTGCTTTATTGGTAATGAGTACCTTATTAAAAAAGTATTTTATAAAAGTGCCGATTTCTTTGCGAAATCGACGCAATAGAAATCGGCTCTATTATTATTAAAAAAATGGAACACCTCCCTAGCTGTCAATCACACAGCCAGGGAGGATTCCTTCCTACTTCTGTTAGTTCCCCTGAGCCAACAGAAATGGCATGCACGTTCTACTTGAGCGTGGCTGCCTCCCCCCGCATACCTCTTCTCAGACATCAGATCAGAGTTGTTTCTGAACACTGTGCGCACGCATGATTGAGCAGGAGCATGCACACATGAACCAACACATGCGCACGTGATGATCGCATCCAGGGCATCGCTTTGCAAGCTCTTTTAATATATCCCCCTAATGAATACATGCATGGAGAAATTAATGCATGCATTCATTGAGGGTATATCTACTTCACAATGACTTTTTGTTTTCCCATGTTTTTGACTGTGGAGTAGTCCTTTAAATTAAATCGGCAAAACAGCAAAGCACTTGATGGGAGGGGTTGACCGCAGATGTTGGCAAATTAATGTCATCAGACTGCAAATGTTTTGAAGATGTAAAAATGCCTGCTTAAGCTCCTATACCTTCGAAATAACTCAGGGGCTCTAGTCTAGCGCTCTATTTTTATTTATTTTAATTTTTTGCAGAACTTCAATGAAGTGAACATTTGAAATCCCGTCTCCTTCAAAACCCTTTTTTTTAAGATGCCTCATGCCAGAGACTAAATGCAAGAGCTTTGGGATTTATTCCTTGAACCCTTTGGCTACAGATGAACCCGAGAAGAACGAAAAAAGGATGACCAACATGACCAATAGAAGATGCCAGTTCATTACCATTGGGTTTCCCCTCCTCGTGTAGGCTGATGTATTGAACTACACCCCGAGCACCACAACACTCAAAAAAAAAAAAACTATTAAAACATCCCAGTAAAGTCCGAGAGGAGTTTAGGGCCCCTTTAAGTCATCATAAAACATGTTTAGAGGAAGGATTAATGTATGACTGAAGATATTCATTTGTAGAAAGCCATTGATGTGCCCGTAAAAATGCCAACTGCCACGATAGACCACCTATGTTCAAACAGAGACTCTTTAAGGCTTAACGTTTTTGTAGGCCCTTAGTAACTTGACCGCTCTTGATCCAATATGGCCTCTGCTAATTCCCCTTGATTCTCTAAAGCTTATTACTAGATGTATTCTATAATATGTCTGTCCCCTCAATCAATGTATTCTGAAGGTGAATTAAATTTTTGGTTTCATTCCTCAGCACCACTTTTTTATATTCATACTAACGTAACCTTTTAAGCAAGAGATCTGCATAGTAATTACGTTTATGCTGGTACCATGTTCTGCAAGAGTCTCCTTCGCTTCCGCAGGTTATGTACAAAGGGTAAGGATTAAAATGCCCAAAGGCAAACTTAATGTTAAACAGCGCCACCTGCCAGTTTTCATTGGGTACTTCATCTGTATTTTATATATTGTTTCTACTGTAATATGTTGTTTAACAAGCACATAATAATATTAATTGTTTAATGTTAATAAAGGATCTCACTGAGTTTCTACTTTTACAATTTTTTTCTTGTTTTAGTTATTTATGACACGAGGTTGCCAAAAGTAAACATATGTACAAACCGCATGAAGAAACGGTTATTAACTGGTCCCTAATGTTTTGTCAACCTTGCTTCTTTTTATATGTGTATATATCCTATCTGGTGGCATTTTTTAAGCAGGGGATTTCACACCAACAATGTTTTGTTTTCACATGAAGTATAAAAATCTAAAAACAAAAATACAAGCAAGACTAAGACCACTCCATGCATTAATTGCTATTATAACAAGATTTTTTCTCAAAATGTTAGTGCTGTCTTTTCAAAATGTATGGAGCAACTTGAATATGCTTCACTTTATGCAAGTTCTTAAATGGTAATGTAATTTTTAAAAAAAATATTAATATTCCAATTTGGCATGGATACTTTCTAAGTCAATATTATTATTTTTATTCACTTTAATTTAGAAGGAACACATCTATTATTTAACACTGTGTGTGTCTCTTTCAACTCGTTTTAAACAAAGAAATTATATTCACGGTAGGAGCAACCCCACACCCCTGTGGGTGTCTCTTTCTCCCCCAAACCTCTAGGTTTTACTCCCCTTCCCTAACCCCTCTGTATGCCTCTCCCCTCGCCCCCCCTATTTTGTGCATCTTTCTCCCCAGATCCTCTCTGAAAATCGCCCTCCCTTAGACCCTCTGTTTCTCTCCTCCCTATCCCTGCCCCTCTGGGGTTCTCTAAATAATAAGACACACATGCAAAACTATTTTAAGGATTCGTGATTAAGAAGCAAGGCTATATTTATTGTTATAAATAATATTTATATATCTACTGACAAAAATCGGAAATTTATATGCTAAAGTACATTTTATAATAATAAATCATTTATTGTGCAATAAGTAGCGGCACTGTCCTCTCCAGCGCAGTGGAGGCTTGCAGACGCTAATAAGAGTATTTTGTGAAATGTATTTTTAGTATACCATGAGAATGTGTCAATGGGTTAACTTAAATAAAGAATAGCTTGCCAAAGTGTAAGATCCTGTAAAAAAAAAAAAAAAGTTAATTATCACTGCGTAAAACCAGGGAGTTCTGGAGAAACCAAAAAGTGTTTTAAGGCTTCTATATATACACACATCACTCCACTAGTTATGAAGACTTTGAGTGATGGGATTAATGCAGGAAACCGTGATTCTCTCTTATAAAACAAAACTTCACTGTGATATTTTTTTTTTTGTTTTGCCAAAGTAACAGCAGTGACATTAGTGTTTAATTTGCAAGTTTGCATGCTGTTCAATCATTTAACTATTAATTTGCTAGATGTGCAAGTAAAGGGTTAACGTATAGAAGAATCGTAAACATTTTGTCATCAAGGCAAACCATACCTGGAGCAGAACTTAAATTTGATGTCCTATGGTACTAGCCAGGCCTTAAGTTTCTCGCTACTGCAAGTTATTGACATGATTCATTTTTACTAGCCAAGTGAAAATTTTGAGCACTGCCTGGAAGACTCAAAATGTCATAGTAACTACCCAGCTTGAGCTATTTACATTATGCATCGGTCAAAGTGCAAGTAGGCGTGGCAGACCTTCGATATGTCCACCAGAAATATCCTTAATTTTGGCTAGATCGAATTAATACTGTAGAATAAGTGCCAACGTTAAGACTCTGGTATTTTCTTCCCTCAAAGATTCCTGTTCTACCAGGTTTTTAGATGTTCTCCTATTAACATCATGTAATTAATAAACAGTGTTGTAAATATTTCCCTGAAACCTTGGCTAATTGTGAGGGATGAAGGCCAGACTTAGTACACCCTGACCTAAGCCTATCCTTCATAGAGGGGACCAGACATATCTCTAGGAGTCCTCTGCAATATGTCACACACAGGGAAAGTCTTAGATTAAGGAATAGCAATAAACTCCATAGAGTTTCTGTTCTGGATTGGGGAAGCCAAAACTCCTAACCCCAGGGTCTGGCAGGCCCCCACATCGTTCTCGAGGTTCGGTTATAGGAAATCTAACACTTCCATCTAGTAGCCAGCCCCCGTCACATTGATCCAGGCCGGCAAACCTCCACTCAGCATAGAGATGGCCAACCTTTGCCATTAAAGCTTGGTGGGCCTGGCAGGACTCAGAAGCTTCTCGGTAATTCATCGGTCCGTGGATATAATAGACGTGGCCTACAAAACACAGCAGATGACATCCCTGTTAGAGACACACAATATAAACTGTATACTTAACTGTCTTTATCTCCTAAATACTAACATCAATCTGACCACAGGAACACGAATAAACCATGAATGCTCTTATTTAATCATTAGTATAACTTCCATCCATCCATGCTACCCATGAAGTGCAAAAAATGAGTCGGGTGGCATTTTACAGCCTTCTTGGTTAACATGAGGTCTGGGGAGCCTGCTAGATTTTCTTTAAAATTATACACCTATTTAAAAAAAAAAAATACATTTCACTTTTTCCAGGGGGTGTTTGATAATATGGAAATCCATTTTATACCTTTTAGTGCAGAGGTAAAGCAGAAAACATCAAATCTATCCTTTATTTTGTCTTTGGGGCCATAGCTCCGAATCCCTGGAGGAAGATTGCCTCCACAAGGCTCCCGTGGGACGATTACTGGGTAGTGGACAGTCCCATCCAGAGTCCATCCAGCATTGCACCAGTCTAAACCATCTGTCCATGCTGAAATACAGGTAGAAAATGAGTCACTTAACCTTTATTGCATCCCCAGGACACCAAGCGGACATTACGGCTATGAAAGAAAGAATACGTTTATACGTTTGGAGGAATATTCATTAATGTGAGAGTTGTTTGGAATTCAAAGGAAATTTTCATCTTAAGGCCAAACTACCAGAAGTAGAAACATAGCTGACTAATGTTTATACTTTGGCTTTCTTGGCCTTAAACTTAATTCACTTTGATTTCCTGACAATTCTCACTTTAATGAATAGACCCTGTTGGTCTTTGGTGGCAAAGGACAGATTTTGCAATTGTAAAAATGTCTGTGAGAGATAAAATCTAAAAAATACGTTTTACAGCAAGACAGGAGGCTCGTATTTTGCTTCCTTTACTGAAAACCTGTCAGGAACCGACACAGGGATCCAATACGCAGGATGCAAAATAGGAGAACGTGTACCAGGCCTTAGAATGGCTGGACTAACATAGGAAAGGACAGAGAATAGTCCGGGACAAGGCGAAGTCAAGGGTGCCAGAAAACCGGTAAGCGAATAAACAAGCCGAGTCAAAGGGAAGGAGAATCACAGAATAGCCAAAATCAGAGCCAAGTCAAATACCAATAAACCAAACCAGAGTATGCACTATAGGAACAACCAAGCTAGAACCACAACAGAGCAATGATTCATTGCAAATGATTCCTTTTTATAGTTTGGCCCTTTAAGTGATGGCTACGCTCCCAAAAAGTCCACGCCACATCATAAATAGGTGCGGAGGTACCGCGGCCGGGGTCTGAAGGGAATGTGATGAGTGTCCCCATAAGGTGGGAGAAGACCCACCGGCTGGATCCCTACCTGGGCAGTAACCACAGGTACCCTGACAGTACCTCCACCCCATGGTTCTTTAGAAAGCTGCACAAGCTGGTCATTCACTTGGGATTCACTCCATCGTATACTTGGGCAATATAATGTTACTGGCACAGGATCCAGATTATCTTTGTGGAAGCATGCAAACAAAAGTAGTCTACTGACATTTTGGCTTTGTCACCAATGTGAAAAAACTGGGGTTGGAACCCTACCACTCAGTCTAATTACTTGTCTTTGATGTGGACTCCCAGGTGGCCATCCTACACCTCCATTGGGAACTATTTTTGCAATAAAGGAGATGGACGTGGTTCCTCTAAGTTGTCTGCCTAGGATCTTGTCCTCCTCAATCAAGGCAATTTTCCTAGGCCCTAAAACTAGGCTCCCTTGGAACTCACCTGGTGGCTTTACAATATGGACACCTGGAACAGCAGGACAATCTTCGGTTCTAATCATACTGGGTCAGATGCAATCTGTCTAAGTTGGGACACAACCGCTACAGTCATTCTACAGGTGGGTTTGTGGACATCCAAAAAACAATCCCTGCTCATAAATTGCCATTGACGGCTCATTTGCAACTTGCAGCTTCACAAAAGACCTGCTGGAATGTTGCCTCCTTCTTTACATGGACAATATGTCAGTGGTTTGGTGCATCAACCATATAGAAGGCACCTGCTCCAGATTCCTGACTGAGCTGTATATTCACCATTATTGCCTGAACAAGAACCTATTTCTCCAGGAGGCTACCTTCTGGCTGGAACAACCTAGTCGCAGATCGCCTCCAGTTGCTGGAGCCTCCTATGATAAGAGAAGTTGATCAATTTTCCCTTTGCCTTGAGGACTGTCAAGGACCATTTCACTCTGGACCCTTTCTTATCCCTGGTGGGTCATCAACATCTGAGGTACTAAGACTGGCTCCCAGATGCGGAGAGTTTGGTAGCGGATGCCTTTCTCTATTAGTGGCCGACTAAAAGCATATGCTTTTCTGCCTTTTGTCATGATAGGATTCTTCACCTTATTTACCATCAGGGAGTCTTGGTGGGTCTGGTTGCCCCAATGTGGCAAGCTCAGCCCTGGTTCGCCATGCTCTTGGAGATGCCAACTGACTATCCTCTGCTGTCGCCCCATGATTACTTTCTCTTCCAGGACCTGCAAGGGGACCCTAATCCTTTAATTTTGCAAGACTAGCTCCCTCTGGTGGTTTGGACTGTGTCCATGGATCCTGAGATTTGTTGGAATTATCTTGAGATGCTAGAACCTTGCATGGAGACTCCTGGGCTCCTAGCACTAGAACATTAGATCTCTATGTGTGGTGTGTGCCATGATTGGTGTTTTGAAGCAACAGGTGGATTCCATTATTTCCTATCTTTGCTCTCATAGGAAGTCTTGCCGCTCTATTAACCAGCCGAAACAGCCAATTAGAAGAGGATATGTTCCGCTTTGCGGCATGTTCAATGGACATGATCCATCTGTTTGTCACTTCATTCATGACGTCTATTTTCCTTGACCTCCCATTTCTCAGTACCTACATTTCTGGGATGTGTACATTCTTTTAGTAAGGCCTGGCTGTTCAACTGCCGGCTAAACTTGCTCTTATGCTCTGTCTGGTCACCTTTTGGTGTGTGTAGATATTTGCACATTTAATGTGGATTCTGTATTCTCACCTGCAGAGATATTTTTGGTTCAACATTGGATTAAGGCTATTGTCATCTAGATCTTGCCCTTATTTTTCTGCTGAGCCGAAACTGTACCTTCAGTAATATTTGGCTTCCACCAGGTAACTTTGCCCTTCGTCTAAATGTCAACTGCTCATCTTGTTCATTTTGCAACATAAGGTTTCTTCTTCTTCGATCACCCGGTGGATTGCTGGCTACTCTTCCTGGCAGATGTTAACCACTACTTTGGGGTGTCTTCTTTGCCAGGTGCCACCATATCCCGTGCTTTGGAAGCCTGTGCAAGTTTGACTGACACTTTGACCTCCATTGACTGGTCTAGGGAAGCTACCTTCTGTGCTCTCATGCAATTTTCTCTCTTCTTTCTGAGTGTTAAAACAATAAAATACGAGCTTCCGGTCTTGCTGACAAAGTAATGATTATTCTAGCTTTAGTGACTGAATAATCTTATTAAAGACAAGAGGCGAGTATTTTGATATCCCTTTGATTTCCATTTGTCCCCAAGATCTGCTTTATGTATGTTCTGTTTGTTTTTTATTCCATGTGCCATTGTTTTCACATTTTTTCTGTGTCTTCTCTCTTAGTATGAATAATACTGGGTGTTTCTGTCGATTGGTTAATTGGTATATTTGTTACGGATCTGTTATCAATTTCAAGATGTATTCCTGATCATTCTCAGCCGGGGGCATCATCAAAGAACGCAGCGGGAAGGATTTACAGGGTTCTTATATTTTTTCACTCTGCTACCATGGTTCTGTTAATCATTTCTTTGCTGCTATTTGGCTTTCAGTAAAAGGAGATAAGCAAAATAACTGTCTCCGGTCTTCAATAAAATCTAATTATTCAGTCAGCTAGAATAATCGATTAAAAGAAATCATATCCTCATTCAATTTGTTCATATCAGGTCTTCCTCCACTTCTATGCAGTGCCACTAAGCATGCAAGAAGACTTTTACACTGGTAGGGTTTTAACATGTCGGTTTTAAACATGTCCCTTAAGAAAATAGATGTCATGGGACAATGTGGCTTTAAGAGTAGACAGAGGGCCCTGGGGTACATGGTGTTTAAGGCTGGAGTTAAGAAGAACTTAGCATAAAGGGGTATCTACCTACCTGCCACAAAGATGCTGTGAAATGTGACTCTTATCACTACCTTTTAGAATTCTTATTCACAGTCCAGAAAATCTCTTCAGAAAGCAGTTATCCCTAAACTCCTAACCTTGAAGCCCTTCTGACTCTTTAGATCATTTGTGTGAAAGGTAACTTAAGGAGACTACATTTGATGACTTACCTCTAGCCAGCTTAACAAAGACCTCTTAGCAGGTCGAAGCGTTGCTGCTCCTTTTTTTGTTCTATTAAAACTGCCTTCGGCTTTGAACACCTTGAGTGCCTGGAGAATTTCTTGTGGTGTTATGTTATGGCAGAGCTGCCTAGAAGGATTCAAAGACATACCACCTCCATGCGGGAATATCAGAAATTATGTTGGAGCACCACAGAGGTCTTGCCATTTGTCCTTTCAGTAGCATACAGTAAAATAACCAATCCTCACCTTGATAGAGCTGTGAAAATGTGGCCATTCGGCCATCTTGCTCTTCACAAGCTTGACGTGCCTCAACGTAGTTATAATGGTAGCGTCCTTCCTTGGACTGATAGGGGAAAACCACCCCTGCAAAATAAAGGAGCAAAACAGAAATTACTGGGCAGAAACCACCTCAGATTCAGGGTTTTAAAGCATTAAACATTAAAGTATTACTTTTCCTATGACAGTGGTCTGTAATGGGCCACTCCAAGCACGATAGCCAATATAGCATATTATAGAGCTTATCCGTGATTATGGTTAAAGGAAGGTTTGGGTGTGCCCCTATGCTTTTTTTATCAAATCATTTTGACTAAAAAAAAAAAAAAAAGAAAATTCCCTTGTACCCCAACCCATTTTGTTAATGGCATTATAATGAGGAAGTATCACATCTTCATTGTTTATCCAAAATATATTATTTAACAGAATATTTCAAAAGACTTATTAGAATGTGAAATGTCCACATTACCATACTATAATTATGTTCTACACCGAAAAAGGAGGACATTTTCCATCACAAGATGTTTCTATGGATAATAAATCAGTTGGAAGAGCAGTCACACAATAGGAGAAGTTGAGTGACAAAGGAAAAAGGTCAGATTGTTCCTGAGACTTTTGGCGTTAATATTTTCCATGTCATTAGCCGATTTAGTCCATCCTGTATGCATTATGTAACATTCGCAAATGTTTATTTAAAAGCATCCATAGTTTGAGATAAATGTATATATTTTAAAAATTATATTGTGGATTTTAAGCAGTTTTCCGGAAAACCAAACTCTGATAGCACAGTGTGCCCAAACTGAGAAATCTTCCCCAGGGGGGTGATTTTTAAATTCACTAGACATGTGCACTAGACATTCGGACGAATTTTGCAAATTCGGACATTCGGATGCTTCCGAATGTCCGAATTGCCGAATTTCGGAAGTGCCAAACCGAAGTGCCGAATTGCCGAAGTCCCGAACTGCAGAAGTGCTGAATTTCGGAAGTACCGAACCTAACTGCCGAAGTGCTTCGGATTTATGAAAAGTGTCAAAACAGGAGAAGCAGGGAAAATTAAAGGAATGATGACAGGAATCTAACCCTAAACATAACCCTAACCTAACCCTCCCCCTTGGTCCCGAATTGCCAAAGTCCCAAATTTCAGAAGTGCTGAACCAAAGTGCCGAATTCCCGAATTTCGGAAGTGCCAAATTGCCGAAGCCCCGAACCGAATTATTTGCCCATGCACATCCCTAAAATTCACTAATTTTAGTTTCACTGGAGATATTTATACCATTTTGTAACATGTGACTCTACCAACATCACACACTCCGTAACTAAAGCACCAACATTGCCAATTTGCAGATTTCATCTTACAAACACTAGTGCCAGGCAGGCATACTGTATTAATATTTACATAAATACCACAACAGATAAGCCATTGATAAATGGAACATTGTGTGGTCCTTATCCAGGAGATACTGCACGGTGTTCTCCGGTAATTTAATCGATATCATCAAAAGGCGTAATCTTCAAAGGAGATTTATCAAAATAAAACAAATGTTATTTTAGGTGCAAACTCCTAAATACGGAGACAGATTCTATTGGTTTTCATGCTGATTCGTCCATAATTAGCACTTTGCCCCAGAAGTGCTTGTTGTTGCCTTGACAAAACACCCCCACCCCCCTATTTAACATCCACTGTCTGCCCTTTGCTCAATACAGAAAGTATTAGAAGAATCAAGGAATCTCTCCTGTGTATGTGGTAAGGTTTAAGTAAAAGAAACTTCTAAGTGACTGCAGACACAGGACTCTGTGTGCTGAGACTGATGAGCACTTTGTTCCAGGATAAATATTAAAACTATTCTCACAACCTATTTAGAAACAAAAAGGTTATGACACCATCAGAGGCTTCTCTATACTTTACAGATATTGAAGATTACTTAAAACAAGTGTTGGGATCCCTTCTCAAGGTAGCTCATAACAAGGACGATTATATATATTTTACACTTATTTCTATGCACCCGTGTTTCTTTATAGTTTATTGATGCAGTGAATTTGGACTAAAGGCTTTGTATACTGGTGTATAGCCGTTGGTACTTAGTCACTGGGCTGCTGCTCTTTCCCTGGCTGAGATGATCATCACAGAGGATCTGAGTCAAGCCAAAGCTTCCTCATTGAAAACATTGGGGGAACTAGTGCACATGCACACAATCACCGAACTACGACGAATCAGCATCTCTTGATAGAGAAGAATTGGTTCAAGGTATTTATATGGGGAATGTTTGCTGTCAAAGATTGCAGAACTGCACCAGGAACGACCTCTGGTGGCTGTCTGAGTAACAAATGTAAAAACGGCCTTTTCTCAGAAATGTAAAATCGTTAGCTGCATGGACAATCTCTATGCACCAGACCACAACATTATGTTGAAGTGGTTTTGGTGCTTAGAGAGTCTTCCTTTGACATCAGATGGGTTTCAGGGACCTGGCCCTAATAATATGAGACATCCTTTTAATAACTACATTTTTAGAGGATGTAACCATAACTTTACCCTCCAGATGTAATGATAAAGTCAAGCTCTGATCTTCTAGTCCATTCACCAGCTCACATTTGTATCGTCCTTCATCCTCCAAGGACACATTAGTTATCACCAGAGAGGCATCGAGCCGGTGGCTGCGTCTCAGACGGGCTCGACCTTTCAGCTTGTCATAGTTCTTATGCTGCTTCCCGTTTGAGATGATGATAAGGTTCTCCAATGGGTCAACAGGGTTAATCTTGCTCCATTTGACTTTGTAGCTCCTTGGTCTCCAGCGCAGCATACAAGGAAGAGTTACGTTGGATCCTCTTTGGGTTATGATCACGTTGTGAATGGGATTGAGCAAATATTTTGAAACTGGAGATTCATCTATGGAGACAATGAATGTACTTAAAGTTAATTATTAGTGGTATTAGAGATTTACATCTTAAGAACTACTATTGCAATCAGGCCAAATGTACCTTGAGTTTTTGGATTCCCTGTATTTGAAACTGAGAGATACATGTGATTGAGCAACCCAAATATTTCTATTTCTGTATATTTCATTAGTTAATTACACTCATGGTGTCTGCTGTATGGTAGCTCCAGATCATCATTTTTTTTAAATTATGTAACCATTTTATCCTATTGTCAAAGTCCATATTTATATAAAAATACATCAACCAAAAGAGAATTCTGTATATCAATATTATGTAAACACTAGTTCCAAATGGGGACAATTTCTTCCAACATGTCAATGTTTGACAAAGTGACAGCAATGTCCAGAGTGGGTTTGCAGTAACACACAAAAAAAACCCAGAACCACAGCCCCTGACGTGCATTATAGTGGTTACAGTGTTGAGAGTGCCATGGCACCCCCTATTGTTAGTAATCAAAGCATGCCAACAGTGTTCAGCCAATGAGATAACACCCCTACAGTGCAGAATTTACCCAAGACAGAGAGCTGGTAGCTCTCTGCATGACGTAGTGGAGATAGGGAGAAGAACAATGGGCACAAGGTAGGAAGTCAAACTGTTCTAAAATGGTTTGAATACTTAAAAATGGGGGATCAGGGCATTTGTGGTACCATAACTACTGCAACACACTGTATATGATGCAATTAAACAATACCCTTAAATAAATATATAAGCCAAAGAAAACATTCAAACAAGCCTACTTGAGAATGTAACATTTTAGGCCAAATTATCTTAGATGGAAAAAAATGCTCAAACTCCGCTATTATTAATTTCTATCTAAAATGAATAATTCCCAGTTTATTGAATATATTGTGCAGCGTGTAATGTGTGTCCCCCTCCCCGTAGTGAGCGTTAGTATCATGGTGGCTGGGTGAATATCTCAGACCTTGATTCCGGTCAGCATTGCGATAGATACTAGAATCGGCGTAGCAGATGGAAAAGCAGAAAATCCACAGTAAATAGATCCTTTTCATCCTCATGACAAACACATCGGGTTTGTCTGAAAACCATAAAAACACAATGAATGAATCACTTTCAAACCGAACACAAACAATTTTAGCTTGATTTTCCATAACGACATTTAAAAATTTGAAGTAAAAAAATAAAAATTGCGTAACATTTACATCATTTCACAGTTATGCTTTTTCGTGCTAATTTTAGTTTTAACATTTATCCTACTCGATTTGTTAGAGCCGTTTTATTTTATTCATTTTTTTCTTTTGTTTGCTTGTTTTTGACAATTCCTATTCTAAGCCCCAAAATACTGGGCCTACAAAAATACTGGGAGGAGTGGGGGTTATTTTTGCTTTTTTAATACACTTTTTGTTTCACGAACCGATCCCCTTTATACTCAGGGCTATTGGAAAATATTTAGTGGAATAAAATGACACGTTATTGGGTTTGGGAAATTCTAACAATTCTGTCTCTTTGTTTTGATCCACACAATGTATTCTAAGTATTGTTAGTTGTAGAAAGTTACAAGATGAATGTCTAGCAGTGAGTTAACACAGGTAAACACCAACATCATTAACTGCGAAAGTAAGAATTCAAAGTAAATTTCAAATTTAAAAGTAAAAATGATCAAATTGGAAACAATTCAGTCAGCTATGCTTTCCGTTTGGCTACTGTGGCCTTCAACTTGAAATTCAAAGTGAATAATCATTTGTGTAACCTATAATTCCAGTGATATATATTTATCAATATTTTATAGATCAATAATGTGGACTCCATCACGGCTATTTACTAAAAAGAGAATTCAAAGTGAATTTCAAATTTCAAGTCAAAAATAGCGAAACTGAAAAATTCTCTAAGTCAGCTATGAGTTCAATTCGGGTGGTTTGGCCTTAACCCTTTAAGGATACATGACAGAAATATTCCGTCACGATTCCCTTTTATTCCAGAAGTTGTGTCCTTAAGGGGTTAAATTTGAAATTCACTTTGAAATTACTTAGAATGCTCTAAGACAGTGAATAACAACATTAAATATGTAAAATAATAATAGATTGGTGGAGAATGAGAGAGTCTGGTAGATAAGGACAGAGGCAGTTGAATTAGTGATTAGAACAGGTTCGGCGTTGAACAGGATATTAAAAAATAAGATTTACTTAGATACACAAAGTACATTTTAAATAAAGAATAATCACATTCAAAGTTCCTGCATTTGCTGCAGGTTCCCAATGTTAAAGCTCTTTTTACTTTCTTTAGCATACAAGGGGATTCCTTGAGTTGTAGTTCAGTGGCCAGATTCCTACTGTAGCAAGCCAACATCTCAACTACAACTCACAGAAACCCAAGTTGGGACAAAACAAAGTTATGTTATTTGAATAAATTACATAAATTGAATGATGGGAGGGTGAGGAAGAAAAAGTGGGTTTAGGGACAAACTAACTACAATAAAAAATTTTTTTTAAAAATCGAACTTAAAAAATAATGAACTAACATTGTACCTTGTTATTTGACAGACACAAAAATATATTATGGACAAGGTGATTAACTAAAGGGAAAATTCAAAGCGAATTTCACATTTAAGAGAAATTCTTTAAGTCACTTATTCTTCCAGTTCAGGTTCTAAAACTATATATTTATAATATACATTTTTTAATATAGATTATTAAACTGTTCTGCAAGATGTGTCGCTCAGTTTATTATACAGATCATTTTTATTCTGGATAACTACTAGGTTTTAGCACCCTGTTTAAAAAAAAATCATATTAAAACTATTTAGGAGAAATTCACAACTTTTTGTTCCCTCCAACTAAAGCTCCCGTTCAATTAAATGAATAAAAAAGGAATATTTCATGAGAAAGTCTTACCTTATGAGATAATAGTTTTCGTTCTTCTCCCCTTTATCATGATGTTCCTGACATCATCAAGTCGCAAGTTCTCTTATTCAGTATCCAGTCCAATACCAGCTCCGATGGTCTCCGTAAGGTGACACGTCCTTTCACAATACATGGGAAAGGAAGGCTGTCTGTCCCAGTTGCCCTTCTGTTAAGGAGTCAGTAAACAGTTTGTGTGTCTGTCGTTGACTTCCCTTGTGGAACCATGAGAAAAGCAGGGGATACAATCTGTCATTGTTCTGGCCGGGGACAGCTTGTCAATGCCAGGCCTGTGCGTCTCGATGATGCAGAGTCACTGAGTTTGAGGAAAATGTCAACATGTGGATGTAAGTTCTGGATAAACCTAGTATCTGCTTCTGTCCAACTTCCCAGCCCACACGAGCAGACAAAAATAGTCTCAGTGTGCTGGTCAACCTTTAGATAACCCTCAATATAATGGGGCCATCTTTATCATGTCACCTGTTTACTGCCTCCACCTGTTTACTGCATGGAATCTTACGCCAACAAAATTCACATAATTTATTTTATTTTCCTTGAAAGGTCAGTAGTTGATTTTTTTTTTTTTTTTATAAATGGATTTTAAGCGAAAAAGCAAACTGAGAAAAAGAATTGGAAACTATGTAATTATATGTGATTTGTAAGTAAAAAAAAATATTTCCTGCTAAAAAAAAGTAGTTTGTTTTTGGAAAACAGTGCAGAGCAAGACAGACGAAAATTAAACCTAAACAAAGTTGTATGAAAACTAAGCTGTGATTGGCTGAAAGCACCAGGTTATCTGTCAGAATACAACTGCGCATCAAATCTTTGTCGGTGACCGGCAATGCATACATGTGAACACACATATACATCTGCATTCACATATAGACTGCACTCAACTTAACGTGCATATATCATAAGGGTGATGCGGAGCTAATGATTGTGGTTTGTGCGATAAACCTATTGAGATAGGACGTCATGTGTATCTTCTTGGGAATCTCTGCAGTTCAAGGTTTAGATAGGGCCTGACGTGGAAAGGAGAGGTGCTAGACTAGGAGCTTTCAAAAAATATAAGATTTTATATGTATATAACAGAAATTCTGCTCTCAACCTGTAGATCACATTATATTTAAAGGGACACTATAGTCACCTGAACAACTTTAGCTTAATGAAGCAGTTTTGGTATATAGAACATGCCCCTGCAGCCTCACTGCTCAATCCTCTGCCATTTAGGAGTTAAATCCCTTTGTTTATGAACCCTAGTCACACCTCCCTGCATGTGACTTGCACAGCCTTCCATAAACACTTCCTGTAAAGAGAGCCCTATTTAGGCTCTCTTTATTGCAAGTTCTGTTTAATTAAGATTTTCTTATCCCCTGCTATGTTAATAGCTTGCTAGACCCTGCAAGAGCCTCCTGTATGTGATTAAAGTTCAATTTAGAGATTGAGATACAATTATTTAAGGTAAATTACATCTGTTTGAAAGTGAAACCAGTTTTTTTTCATGCAGGCTCTGTCAATCATAGCCAGGGGAGGTGTGGCTAGGGCTGCATAAACAGAAACAAAGTGATTTAACTCCTAAATGACAGCGAATTGAGCAGTGAAATTGCAGGGGAATGATCTATACACTAAAACTGCTTTATTTAGCTAAAGTCATTTAGGTGACTATAGTGTTCCTTTAATACACATATATTCATGTCAGTCACTGATACAGTGAATGGGAGAGCTTAATGACAACCGGTGCACTGGGGGAGAACAGAGCACACAAAATAAGTAATGGCATCCCCTGACCACAACCCCACGTTACACGTTACCTGTCACCTAATTTCAGCCTGGCAGCTAGAGCATTATGGGAATGGTAGTCCGTAATAACTACCCCACATTTGTTTAGGTATTAGTCTTATCTATTGTATAGGCTTTATATCACTGCACGTCACTGTTTAGTAAATAACACACACGCAATCGATTTTCTGTGTCAGCAGAAATCAGTGTTTAATGAAAAATGGCCAATTGTGTCAGCTGACACTCTCAGCCAATCAGAGCTGCCCATTGCTCCTAAGGTTAAAACGTCCTCATTAGCCCAACCGGCACAGAGAGGATTGGCTGCTGGTGACTCTAATTTAACATTAAAACATTAAAATCTGTTTAATGATAAATGGAAGGGCTCCATACACTATAACCACTTCAAAGCAATGAAGCAGTTCCAGTTTCTCTATATTGGCACCCTCCTAGAATGTGCCATTACTGACCTCGAGCAGGTTACATGAGATTTATTTGAATTCCTGAAAAATGTGCAGTAAGTAAGGTCTTTTTTTTTTTTTTTTTATTTTTTTTTTATTTTTTTTTTTTTATATTCTTTATTTTTGAACATGCATGAGGTTACATTGCATCCTGCATTGCCACAACAACAAATGCAAGGATTTGCGGTACATTCAGTGATACATGTGAAGTAATAGTGAGGACTACTAGAGATAATACTTGCATCATTTAGGAAAACAGCATGAAATTTTATATTTAACGATTAAGCTAGCAACAGTATTGTAGATACAACATGAGTTAGTCAAGGTAATGTAGACTTAACTAGTGGCTCATTTTTAAGTTAGAGATCATGCAGGCTAAACGTAAACAGGCTTAGTTAGTTATGTAGCTATACAGTAGGTTCAGTAACTTCAGTTAAGATGTAGTGTGGAATAAGAGTGTACGTTGCTGTGAGTGCCGTATACATTGCGCTAACTTGCGGTCACTGGTAGATACAACTTATAGATTAACTTTCATACTATGTCTAGGTAGGTCATATTATGAAGACTAGTGGGGTTAGACAATGCGGGTCAACTGTCACCCTGATGGATCGTAGTTCCCAGAGCTGCCTCCGTGTGGGGGATATCGGTATCCTGGTGGTCCCTAGGCCACTCAGACAGGGGTAGTCCCGCTTTTATCCGATACCTCTTCTGCTGTGTTCAGGTGGTAGGGGGCAAGTGTCCATCAGAGCAGGCATCAGAATGTACTTTGTCCTCATAGACTCCTGCATAGTTCTTTGGGTGCATTCGAGTTGCAGCCTTGGCGCTTGCCGTCTTCCCTTGTCTGCAGGCTGATGTCCGCCATGCGTGAGAGCTGGGCTTTGTCCATGGGAGTCCGGTTGCTGTTAGGAGTTCCGCCCTCCCGTTGCAGCCGCAAACTCCCGCTTGTTCCGGTCGCCCATGCATCTAGTTGCTGGCTTGAGTGATAAGGGTAGGCTCTGTGTTTGCCGTTTCCCTATGTAGTGGGATCGGGATGTGGGAGCTGTTTTTGGTGTGATCATGAGGAGGTGGGAGGTGTTCCCCTTGTTGTCTGCGTGCAAGACGCCCGCCATTTTGGAGGCAGCAGTCGGGCTTCTCGGCCTCAGTCGTGGAGTCACATTCAGGGCCGCAGGGTGAGGACCGGGATCACCCCCCCGGTCCATAGGGGGGGGAACGGAGCCGGATCCGCGTCGGTCTGTACCGTTGGTCTGGTTCTGTGGTGCAGGATAGTGAGGCAGCGGCCGTCTGCCTCACTCACCGCCGGAGAAGGCCCCGGTTGGGGCAACATGTTTTTCTCCCCCAGGGGACTGAAGTTCAGTGAGCCAGCCTCTCCCCGGGTCCAGCAGTCCCTCGGCTCTGGGTATCTTCGCGGTAGATCAGGTTTTAGGTGGTAATCAGCGTTTTTAGCAGTGATTATGTATTGTGTTACTGGAGCTGGTCTGACTTGCGACCGTCCAGCCTGGCGGTCCGGCCCCGCCCCCGTAAGTAAGGTCTTTAACAGCACCTTGGACATTACACAAAACTAGTTAATTAATTACATTAATGTTCTCAGTCTATAGTTCAGTCACAAATATCCCATAAAACCATAATTTCATAGCCCAAACCCCCTGTTTCCATTGCAGTGTAAACTGGAATTAGCGGATGCCAATGTTAACATTACTTTACTACTGTACTTTATAATCTGCTGCCAATATTTGCAGAGGGAAACAAAGTGAAGTGGTATTCTTATATAATATACACCTGATCAGAGCCTCCATGTATCAGTCTAATGACCGTATAGTAATAGTAACTGCAGGTGTGTTAACGAAACCAGCTCAACATGAGCCACAACTGAGGACGGTAACAAGAATAATCCCAAAATATGCAGCCAGACACCTAGGGCAGCAGGCAGGATGGCGGTGTATTGGGCAAAAACACTAAATAAATAAATTAACAGTGTAGCAGAGCTCCAATACCTAGCATAAGTATTTCCGCTGTATAATCCTTGTAGCTGAAGAAGCAGTTAAATATCTAAGACAAAATCCCCCAGTAACTGGACGGCACACAGTTCTGGGAGTCAACTCATTTTATTTTGGCCACACACGGCTTTTATGCACAGACCCTTACATGGGGTCTCCCATACAATAAAACCATGATCCTCTACAGAAAAATATACAAAATTCTAAAACACTTCAAAAATACATTTTCGAAAGGGGCCAATTTGATTGCATGTTAGGTCAGAAGGTTTATAGCCTTAATTCCTCTTTGAAGCTGGGACCCCAACAGAGCTGCTCTGTAAGGTGTGAGTAGTTACACAAGTGGCCTGGAAGTCTGGTTTAAATATTAACTAACTCTCTAGCTTGCCATATGTCTAGATTATCTCTTAGATAGGATGTCCCTTGATATGTTAATGGCCATTATCCGTGTGGTCCAGTATCATATCCAAAAGAAACATTAATACCTACCCACAGATTAATCATTAAGCCTCATTCCTAATATATTTAGAATGGGACAATCACCATCTTCTAATGAAGCCCAAACGTGATTTGTGAACAAGGGGACCACACAAAGTTGGTTCGGTAAACGAACGAGAGGTACTGACAGCCAAATAAAGGGAATACGAAGTATATAACAGTGTTCATTCCACTACAAACAGAACACCCAGCAAGCTTGCCATTGGATCTCTTTAGAAAGAAAACTAATGGTGTCCGTAATAATAGTGGGTAGAACATAGGAGATTTATATACACATTGGGTTCTCTGTGCTCTTACCTCTGAACCATCATGTGGGAACCAGATCTCTGCATATCAGTGATAGATAGACAGATGTCCAACAAGTTCCTCATCCCAGTGGTTTTCAGTCCAGGTCCAGTACTGGGCAGTTCCTTCTGAAAAAGACACAAAGACCTTGATTTAATGCTTTTGGATAAGCTTTTCATATGATCACAATCTTTTAGAAAACATATTTTCAAATTATTTATTTATAAAATTTCCCGTAGACTTTAATGGTGACTTCTTCAGATAAATCACTTGAACAGATTTTCCAACAGGTTGTGATAATTTGAGAAGTTGACTCAAAAGAATAAAATCGAAGCCAGTTACTAAAAAACATTGTCGAGATGAACAGTGATTTGTTTGCACACTACGAACCATTCCCAGATATCATCATTCGTAGTAAGGAGCGTGGTGTCAATTATTAAAACATAACTTTTATTGAAAATTCATAATTAAATCAAGCCTCACAAATTCCTAAAAATAAAATGATACCTTACATGTAAATTATGACATTGATATCATTGTTATCACTTGAATGATTTGATTTTCTCTTTCCCAATTTATTTAAATATTCTCATTCAGGAGAAAATTCTAAAAACTCCCAAGAAAGATATAGAGAACCGTAATAAACCCACTGTAATGACAAAAATTGTGTTAAAAGGCTGGACATCTAAACTTGGCTCTCAATGACTACTCTATATCACCCTATCAGTCAGCATTAGTTTCTATTCTGACAGTTGTATACAGTATATACCATACAGTTACAAATATAGAAACAAGATATCTCAAAACAAGGTTTGCTTCCAATGTATCATATAAACTAGAGGGTTGATTAAAGGACCACTATAGTGCCAGGAAAACATACTCGTTTTCTTGGCACTATTGTGCCCTGAGGGTGCCCCCACCCTCAGGGACCCCCTCCCGCCGGGCTCTGGGGAGAGGAAGGGGTTAAAATCTTACCTTTCTCCAGCGCCGGGCGGGGAGCTCTCCTCCTCCTCGGCTGAATGCGCATGCGCGGCAGGAGCTGCGCGCGCATTCAGCCAGTCTCATAGGAAAGCTGAAGTGGTCTGGGTGCCTAGAGTGGTCCTTTAACATTCCAATGTGTCTCAAGTGGTAGTCTTCCTTAAATAGCCTAAATAATATATAGCGACAGAATTAAGGCCTTCGCGTAATCAGATTTCCAAATGCTTCAATACTGAAAAACTGTCCAAATGATTTATCTGCAGAAGTCGCCTTTAAAGTCTATGGTAATTTCTGTTCATAAATCATTTGGAAAAAACTTTTTAACACAATCGAATAGTTTGAAAAGCTCTAGACCTACATTATGGAGATAGTAGGTAATTTAACACCAGACTAGTAAAATGGGGAAGTAAAAGTACAAACACACTAGTTTAAAAAAAAATCACACCCCATATCTACACCGATCACCTATTAAACTTAGCGCACTAAAATAACGTACATTCATATCCAACTGTAGAAATGCAGGTCCAGTGTAGATATAATCACTATATTGCTGCAATCAACTGCTCGAAAATATTAGTCTGCCTCCTCTCTCTTGAGAATGTGCTGGTACTGATTATGATCGTTCAAGTCCAAATAATGTAAAACTACCAAGAAGAATACTAAAAGGCCAACTATCTGTGCTGTATGAAATAAAACCCCAATGCATTTTCACAGTAAATAGTTCTCCATCACAGAACATTGACTGATTCAGTTGCTTGACATTTTACCCAAAATGATTCCATGGAAACCAAAAAATGCTCGTCGTCAAAACACAAAACACAGAAGACCCAAATATATGTAGTTAATGGTTTGTTTATTTGTGACATGGAGCCAGACTTTACTTCCTATTAAGGCAGCGTTACCTTGCAAAGTAACTTATGCGCACTTTAAAGGAACACTCCAAGCACCATAACCACTATAGCTTGCTGTAGTGGTTGTGGTGCCATGCGTTCCTTGTATCCTCCCTTATTGTGAGTAGCTAAGCCATTCTAGAACAGTTTGACTTCTCTCCTGAGGTCTGCTGGATTCTGTTCCCTGTCTCCACTACTAACTACAGCGAGACAGAAGTTCTCTATGCAGTGCAGGGATTAGCTCATTGGTCAGGTACCTATATTCCTAACGTATCTCTCTAAGTAATCATCACTAGAATGAATGACAATTCTATATAGATAGACCGATGAATAGGTTCATTACTACAAATGTTCCACTAGATGGGGATATTATATCAGTATAGAGATTAATCCTTTATACGGACTCTGGAGGAGAAATTGTTTCAATGTGTAGTTTTCCCGGTTACAATTTACTAGAAAGAGTACCTTTTCACTTTATCGCTCCCCTATCTTTGTTCTGTTCTATATCTTATTAGGTATCATTACCACCATTACCCTGTAAGTGGGGAATCAGCATCTTCTAAATGGTAATCATTGCTGATAATACCGACGGGGCACCTTTCACAGGTTACTGCATTGTCATTATCTGGGTTTAATATCACCTGTACAGTATGGGATGCAATAATCACTATTTAGTCGTATTTCCCCATTTTTTTTAAATGTAAATTGCCTCTACAACAGGGGTTTCCAACCCAGTCCTCAAGTACCCCCCAACAGTCCAGGTTTTAGGGATTACCCTGTTGTGTCTTAGGTGTCTTTAGAAGAAGAAGACCAAAAAAAAACCTTTAGCCACAACAGGGTAATCCCTAAATTCTGGATTGCTAGGGGGTTCTGGAGGACTAGGTTGGGAACCCCTGCTCTCGAATATAATTTTTCACCTTAACACAATATAA